ATTATGTTGTATTTGTGGATAGAAAGGTTTATTAAAACGACTGTCAGATTAGAGTGGAGTATATGTGCATGTGTCATGTGCTATATTTGCATCACATATCTAGGTGATCAATTATCATACAATGACATTTGCTACTAAAAGTTAAATAGATAAAAAAACTAAGGAGAAATGTTCAAATTGTGGAAAAAGTGGTGCAAATATCTAATGTTTGGATTGTTAAGCTTATGCTCATCCTCATTGTATTTTTGTAGAATAAGTGGAGAAAGCATAAGAAGACATAGAAACAGAATAATGGATTTTCCATTTAAAGTTTCAAGCAAATAATTAAGATCCAAATTAATTAGATGTAGAAGCAGGTGAGATTAAATGCGAATTAAAAGAGATTTAAGATGCTTTTTATAATGCATTTGATAAATTTTAAGATAAATCAAAGAAAAGAGGAAATTAGACACAATAATATAAGGAACATGTAAAAAATACTTTAGAATCTATTTTTGATAATTATACACTATAATAATGCAATCAACAATGGTCATCATAAAATAAGATAGAAAGTTATTGTTAAGTTCATATGGAAAGTCATCGTTTATTTTGTATATGTCGTAAATCTTTGAATAATAAATAAATGGTATAATGTGATCATTGTTATGAATGGTATCATTTTGGATGTATTAAACGTAAGAATGTAAAAGATGATAGTTATATCTGTGAAGCATGTAAAGGATGGAGTGCAAAGAGAACAAAAATAGATTTAGATGATCCAAAATTATTGAACTTTGAAGATTTAGTTGTACCTAAAAGTGTTTACATTTTACATTTGATAGATTTACTTCCATTATTATTATACATTGAAGCTATTATGAAGAGATTACCAACAATTCCATTAGATGAAAATGATTATAGAAATATCAAATTCTATAAACTTTTCTTAGCATCATTACCTATCAAACCTTCTACTGTTATACAATTAGATAAGATTTTATTAAAAGAAAAACTATAGGAAGAATTAAAATAGAAAATGTAATCTCTAATACCTACTTAATTAGAATAGAGTGAATTATTTGCAGAAGAATTAGTTAAATCATTTAAATTTAAAGGTTATTATTTTGAATTGGGTGATAATAAACTTATTAAATCATTTGTATTATCAAGAAAAGATATTAAATTATAGATTTAAAAAGGAATTTCTGAAGGTTATTTAATGGAAGATACTTTTAAAATTCTTAATGAAAATATTACAGATAATTAAAAAATATTTAAATCTCCTAATGATAATTTAGGTTAACTTATTAATAGATACAAAATTGCATAATAAATAAAAACTACTTTAAGATCTTTATTTGAAGCAGAAACAATGTAAATTGAATATCCTGTTATTGATAATCAACTTGATTTAACTGTTTATAAATAATTAATTTTGATTAAGAATTAAAAAAATAAACCTAATAAATTGAAATTAATAGATTTAAAAAGAATGGCTAATCATAATAATGTGACTTTGGGATGTCTAAAAATTATTGATAAATTATTAGAAGAACTTAATTTATTGGAATAAGATAATGTTTAGAATTCTTATAAAAAAATAATAGAATTCCCAGTTAATAGTGATACACTTACTAATTAATTATAATCTTATTTTGAATAAGAATTTATTGATGAATTCAAAGTTGAATTGGAATTGAAAATTGAGAGTTTCTGTAGATTAACTGAAAAAGAATATACAGGAGTATATATATATGAAAACATTTAAAAGGCTGCTAAGGATTCGATTGTAATAAGGAGTGTATATAATCAATTATAAGAAATTCATTAGAAATGTTAAAATTAAAAAAAAGTAACAATTTAATTTTGTCATGAAATATTAGATTTGATGTCAAAGTGTTAATTAACTACTATGTATATTGAAAATCAAAAGACAAAATTCTTGAAATTTAGAGAACTCTACAAAAAGTTGAATGAATCAATAACATTAGAATAATTAGATGAAATTGAACATGAATGTTTTTAACTTGGATTTGATATGGATGTAGAACAAAGAAGATAATAATTGCTTTAAGCATAAGAGATTATTCAAAATATATAACCTAGTTTATGTGATTCATTGGAGGAATTCAAAAAACTTAAGTCTCTTGAATTAGATACATATATAAGATAAACTGAATAGCAAATTGATTTTGTTAAGTAATTATATTATTTGGTATACAATTCATATGATACATTACCTAAGATGATTTAGAAAGTAAAAGATATTTCAGATTTAGATTTTAATAATGAATTACTATATAAAGTTATTATACCAGAAGTAGTTTATGATGAAATGAAATCAGTTGTAATGAATTTTAGATAAATTAAATGGAGATGTGAATGTTAATAAATACTAGATTAATCAAATTAAATGATGATTCAAGGGGGTAATAAAAAATATAATATCAGTCAAATTATTCATTTGTTAAATGCAGATGCCTAAATCTAAGATCCATTTTACACTTAATAACTATAGAAGATCAAAAAAGAATATGAGAGTTGGATTATCAATTTGTAAGAGTTTGAAAATCAATTGGCTGGTCAAGTAGCTCCTCATTTTAATTAATTAATTAAATTAATTAATAAGAATTAATATTAAGATAATAATTTGTAAACTAAATTGTGGCAATATTACATTTAGATGCTTTGGATGTAAAAGACAGAAGAATTTCTTGAAGCCAAAGCTAATCCATAAGCTTACAAAACATTGATATCTTGTGCTACATTTGCAAATATAGATTAAAATAATGTTTTATTGTTGAAAATTAAAGATCATCTATTCATAATGGATGACTTAGGTAGAAAACTTAAAGAATATTAAGAATAACGATTTCTTTGGGTTAAGAGTAGAGAATAAATTAATAATTTATAATCATATAAATCTTATTATAAGTATTTGGAAAATAAGCCAGATGCAGAGTAGATTAATTAAATTTATAATTAAGCTAAAGAGTATCCAATATTTAAAGTAAAAGATTTAGCTGAAGATTTATAAGAAGTACGTTAAGTGTTATAATAATATAATGATTTAGTCTAAAAACAACCAGATAATAGTTTATACATTTAACAATTATAAAAGATAAGAACATATTATTGTTGTTGTTTTTTAAAAGTAAAAAATTTCTGTGTTTAATTGATGTACAATATGATCAAATAATAATCTTTAAAATGTTTGAAATAATTGAATCCTACAGAGTAAATTTTATAAAGATTGGAAGAAATAAATCTTTTGGTTGCTTTAGGAGGTGAAGAGTGGTTTTAAAAGTTAAGTCTCACTTATAAAGTGAAATAAGAGAATACAAACAATTCGGATTTTAAATTTATTGATTGTGTAAGAATTTATTATTATATTTTTATAGAGTTTATCAGATGATTTTGAATGGATTAGATGGATGGAAGAGAGTAGTTAAAATATAAATGAGAGTTTTGGTATAGAGACTAAAAAACAATAAAAGGAATAAAAGATAAAGAAGAAAAAGTAATAGAACTAAAAAGTAATGGAAGGTATTACAGAAGATATGAGATAAACTCAAAGACTTGATCTATAAGTTTGTTTTAAAAAATGTTCTAATTGGAAATAAGTAAATGAATAATAGATACGTAATTTGGAAGCATAAGTTTTTATGGAATAAAGTTTTGATAAAGAGAAATATCTAAAAGAAATTGAAAAGATTAAAATAGTTATCAAATAAAATAAATAATTAGAGTATATATTTAAATTATATTATATAGATTAAATTATGAAGAAATGAAGAAAGCTTATAAAAAATATCTCCATCAAAAGAAATCAAATGGTTAATAATCTAATAGTAAATAAACCTTGTGTTTGGAGAGTGTTAAAATCATTAAGAAATAATAACCATAAGTTCCTTAAATTACAAGTGCTTAAAAATTAATTTCTCAACATTCAGTTAAAAGTGAACCTGAGTTAGAAAAAAAAGTGAAACCTGAAATCCCTAAATAACCTATTATTATTGCTCAACCAATTCCAATAACAAATGATGTTCTCTTATATAATCCAGATGGATAAATTGATACACCATGTAAAAAGTTAAAAAATCAATTAATGAATTTAGGAGAAATCAATTTATAAATTAAGAAAAAAGTAAATGATACAAGAGAGTCATTTCTCATTAAACCATAATTATTAACTTATGAATATCATATGGCTTAACATTTTCCAAAAACTGAAAATATTACAATTACTTGTGATACATTTTCCCCTGTTAAAGAAGTTATGGAATATTTTACATAGAGAAAATCAGGTCAATTTAGAATGATGATTGGATGGTTATATTCAAAAGATCTAAATGTTGCTGGAGATTTATTTAAATTAGCAGATAAATTAAAACATTCTAAATAATGTGTTGGAACTAAATAAGGTGATGTTGGATTAACCTTGATATACTATGATTATTTGAATAAACTTAAACCTACTACTAAATGGATTATAATGAAAGAAGAATTAGAGTAAAAATTTTTTATATATTCTTTAGGAATTAATTAGTAATGGATAACTTACTTAAATATCATAATATAGAGAAATTTAAACCACATTTATGTTTCGTGTATTATGTAAAAGACTTTAAAGAATGTACAAATACAATATTACCTCAACCTGTTCAATATATTAATGTATTGAAACACAATCAATTTAAAAGAGTAGTTGAAAACCATAAACAATAATAGAAAAAATAATAAGGATAATTAATTCCATCAAAGAAAAAAGAATTAGAACCTATTTCTGATGAGGAAAACAATAATGGATTTTAGTAGAAATAAGATGTCCATTCAATGCTCATGGAAATACCTGGCATCCTCAGTTTGTTAAATTAATGATTGATAATATATATATATATTTGGCTAAAGGCATGGTACTTTGTCTTTTATTTAATTATTTATGATAATTAATAATATATTTATTGTATTATTCATTATATTAATAACATAAAAATTTATTATAAATTAACAAATATATGAACCCTAAAGATTTCTTTGAAATTACACATTACTCATTATAAGAAATTTAGTAAATTCCACCTTTCAAAAATAATCTAAGCACATTCAATAAATAAACTTATTCTATTTCATCAGCTTAGACTGGTAAATCTCATTCTTTAAGCAAATTAATTAATGAACCTATTTATTTTATTAATGATGGCCATTTGTATTTGGTAGGTCGAAAAGAAATATAATAAGGCAAAACATATGTTGGATATTCAGTTCAATATTTAACCTTAATTAAATATAAAGGTTTATATGAAATGGATTCCATTACTATTGAAGTATATAATAAATTATATAGTTATTAGACAAATCTAGAGTCTTTAAAAAAGAATAAAACATATCGATAATTATCATCTACATATTTTGAGAGAATAAAAGATGGATAAGAATTACTAATATTTAATGAAAGTAAATTAGAAGAATAGGATGAATATTCTTTAAGTTATGTACTAAGTTATAAGATTTAAAATTCAGCATAATTAGTGTAAGTTATATTTTATAATAATTGAATAGTCAAGAATAAATAAAATTGGAGAAAAAATAACAACATACTTTTAAAGCATTTCAACCTTTTGAGTCTCATTATTCAATGGTTAGTGAAAATGTATATTATAATCTTTATTTATTAGTTTCCTGAAGTATTTCTAGAGTATTAATGTTTAAATGTATCATCATAACCTTTGGAGATGAAAAATATTGAATTTAAAGTAGAAAATATAATGACTATTCAAAGATTAGTATCTATTATAATTAATATATAGAAAGATTACTAATTACCAGTTGTCTTAGGTTAGGATGAATGTTTGAAAATAATTTATAGAATTTTAATATAGACATCAGATTTGAAGGCAATTTATACTGTATTGACTTAAAAGAGTAATTGTTGAGATTATCTATTAATATTAGAGGATTTGACTGAGTATGATTTGAGGTTGGGATAAATTCATTTAGAATGGGGAACATGTGGTAATTATTTTGGAACATAAAAAACTTGTTTGGTCAGGATTTATCCAATTAATCTAAGACCTTCACAATCAATTTAAATTGAAAAAGAAGTTATAACAACTATAGAAATTGATATTGAATTAGGAATCCTATTTGATGTTCCTTAAATTGATTTAGCTATTAAATTAGAAGAATTGGAAATGAAAGCAATTAAAATTGTTGGAATGAGTTAAATGGTAAAAATTTTGTTATATATAAAATAGAAATTAAATTATCCTCCTGGAATTAGAACAAGAAAAATTAAATTAGATGTTGTGGGTTATAACTGTGGTGTTCATTAAATTAAAGGAATAAAGTTATATGATCCAAAAACTCTGAAAAACATTTCATATAAAAATTTTCTTTCTGTTTTTGTTGTAAATAAATAGCAAAATTAAAGAGCCTAATAATTAAATGTTTAAGAACTAAATTTGTTAGATTTAGAAATAAATTAACCTAAAATAATTGTAGAATCGAATTTACTGGATTTAATTTGATGATTATGAATATAATTTATAATTATTTTCATTATGTACAAATTTATTCTCTTCTATAGGTTTTACTTAGTCTTAAAAATAGTTCTATAATGTTAGGTTAATTTTCAGATAGTTTTGATAGAAGTGTTTCCTTTCTAAATATTCTTGCTTATTTAATTATTTTGCGAAGTAATGATTGTCAAGATAGAAATAAGATTTTTTTTAGAATTTATATTATGGATAAATTTTTCTAAATCTTTAATATTCATTACATTTATTTTTTCCTTTTAATATACTGTTGAAGTGTTATTATCTCATATATATATATAAATGGAATAGGCAGATTAGATGAAGTCATAATATAATGAATATCTCTTTATTTGTGTAATATATATCATTTAAATCCATTTTTGTTATTATTAATTTCATTAATAAGAAGTTTCACTATTTAATTTTTAGCTTTTGAGATATTTGGTAAAGATATTGAATGATAATATTATATTTTTTTGAGTGTTATATGTGATATTAATATTCATTTGGCTTTCAATCTTTCTGCTCTACATAAAGAACAACCTAAAGACATTTCTTATCCATTGGGTTTATGAGGTATTCCTAAAGGACATTTACCTAGTCCTGGACATGGTTTGGTCATATTAGTTTTGATATTTCTATGACAAGGATCACAATAATGAGTTGTACCACTTAAAAATAAAATTAAAATTATACTGACACCACCATAATGCAATTGAACAACAATGTCTACATTTAAAATCAATATAATCTACTCCATGTTTATTACATTTATCTTCAAGAGTTAATAATGGACAGCATTTTGTACAAACTAAATCTTCTTATTTGAATTCAACTTTAGGATCTTAATCTGCTGCTTATTAACAATTCTTTAATCCTCCAAAATATGGTTTTTTGCATTTAAAACATAAATAATAACAATATATATGCATAGAATAATCTAAAGGTTTTTAATAAAATTAATGAGTAGGATCCAATAATTCTTTATCTTTTTCCTTTTCTTCTAATTTTAATCTTTATAAACATAATTCTTGAACTTCCTTTAATAAAGCTTAACCTTCTTCAATAGACTTTTTGAAATGAGGTACCTAAATATCCAAAAATTTATTGCATAAAGGACATTTCATGAAATTAAATACAATTCTTGGACCATTCCATTTAGCATCTAATTTTTATCTTAAACAATCTTCATGGAATATCTAATTGATAAATAATAGTAATTAAGATTTACATGTCCACAAGTAGTCTGAACACAAGGCTATGATTTTAATGCTTCTGTAAAACATATATTACAATAATCATCCTCATTTTAATCTTTAGCACATTTTTCATTTAGACAAGGTAAACATTAAGTATTCTTTAATCCTTAACAAAAATGTCCACATTATAATTTGATTGTACATAATTTTTTAGCTCTATTTTAACATTCTTATTATTAACATATTATTTATAATGCTTCAGGTTGATTCTTTTATATTTCTGTTGGTTAATCACATAATCTGCATTTAACAGCTGCCTTATTAATTTTAAATTCTTCACAAGTCATATTTGTATGATAAGGTACACTCATACAATTTTTACATTATTCTGTATGACATTTTGAACATTTAAATCTATTTTCTATATAATGTTTTAATTATTCTCCTTAAACTAATTTACCATTCTAATCTTAAATTTTCTCTTCAATATTCCCTTTCTAAAAACAAAATCTCTCTTTACAATTACAACATTCTATAATATTCTAAAGTGATAAATTGAGTTTCTCAGTTAATTGTTCAAAAATTTCATTTCCCAAAATCTATTTAATCTCTTAATCTTTAAATCTTTCTCCACATACACAAGTAACATTACTTTTCTTAGGTAAAAAGTCTTCCTTACAAATCTTAAACATGCAATCTTTACAAATAATATGTGAACAATTTTCTAAATACCAAACTTTATCAAAATCTGAATTAGCTTCAAATTATTTCTTGCATTTTTCACATTACACTGTTTAAGAAGGTACTTTCTATAAAATTGGCTATTATGATTGTGAATCTTTTGTTTTTAAATTGATACTTACAAATCATTAACATCATCTCTATTCTGGATATATATACCTTTGCTTCTGCTTTCAATACTCTAAGTTAATCAACATTAGCATTTTGAATGTCTTTTCTCTCAATATATTTCATAAAATCACTGTATGCACTATATACAGGACAATTATCTATATGAATCTCCATCTCTTTCTCACTTTTGTAATGACAAGAAAAACCACAAGCACAAACAAAAGTATCAGGTTCTTGTATTTATTAGAATTATTGCATAATAATAAAATATCAAACATTATTATAGACTTAAATTTATTTAAATAAAAAAATATAACCAGAATATTTCAGAAAATTATACATACATTCATTATGTTTAATTAACAAATTTGCTTGGAACAATATCATCTTTATCTTTTTCATATACAATTTTCAATACACCATTTTCAATTCCAAAATGTTTCCATTTTCTTTCAAAATTTTCAGGAATTCTAAAACTTAAAGTAAATTCACCATATTTTCTCTCTTATTTCTTAATATGATCACTTTATTCTTCTTAATAAGGTTTTTTTCTATTTCCCTTAACAATTGTAACTACATTCTATCTATACATTTCAATATCTTCTTCATTAATTCCTGGTACATCCATATAAATAATATATTTATCATTAGCAATAATATCAGTGGCAGGTGCAAATGAATCAGGTCTAGCTAATATTAATCCAGATTAATCAATATTTGTTTAAGGAATTTTCAATTCTCCATCTTATAAATCAGCCTCCATTTAAACAATTTTCTTAACATATTAATTATCAGTATCAATTAATTTAACATTTACTTCTCTTTTAAAATACTAAGTAAGTTTACTAGTAGCATATTATAAAATATTTTCACAAACAGAGAATTATCTATTAACAGGAACAAATACTGCTTTTAACCAATATTTTAATAAAGAGAAAACCCAAGGATTAACATCTAATCCTAATTAACTATCATCACTAACTAAACAAACATGTCTTGTATATTATGTTTTAAACCAAAGAACATGTTTTTCTTACAATTCATTAATTCTAGGATTAGTAGCTGCAATCTTAGTTCTTTAAATAGATCCACCAGTTGAATATATTTAAGTTACTTATGTTGTCCAAACATGTTATAATATTTCAGCAGTTTCAATTTCTTTTAAATTATGAACTACAATTATTTCTCTAAATGTTTTTGAACTATTTTAAATATATCTTGATAATCTATCTAAATATCTTTAATCAAGAGATGTAAAATCATTTACTACACAAATGAAATAATCACTTAATTCAAATACTAAATCTATAATAAAATGTTCTGTTGCTTCTTTTTCAACAATACTCATAGCTGATTAAATTTTAACAGGTGAATAACTTCCAGCAGTATCAACTAAAATTAATTAAGTACCTGAATCAACATCAACATGTTTAAATGATATTCCTTTTGTTGTAACTTTTTTCCCTGATGGTAAATTAGATTAAGTAAGATTATTTAAAACAAAGGTTTTTCCTTTATCATACAATCCTACAACGGCAACTGTAGCACCTTCCCATTTAATTTAAACTTTATTATCGTTATTGGCTAATCCAACCAATTCTTTATTTGCCTAGAACTGTTTACTTATATATACTGTCCACCCTTATTATACATTATTTATTAGATCTATATCAAGAATCCAATCATAAACTTATGTTTCATCTATTCCTTCTTATGTATTATATTTAATTGGATCATTAAATATATTTTCTTGAATTTTGTCATTCAATTTTGATTACTCTTCAAAATCATAACTTGTTATTATATTTGATTAAAGATTTTTAGTTTCTACATTCAAATTATGATTGTTATGATTGAATTACAAGAATCTACCAGTTTGACGTAATGATCGAGTTTATTAAAACTTCTCTGATGTCTCTAGATCTTTGGATATACTATTTATTTGCTTTTATAGACTCTCCTACTCTTTCAGTCTGTAATATATTCATGCACTTACAGAAGCTCTTCCTGATGAGTGATTTCATCTAAAATCATCATTTTGTCATCATTTCTAACACTCATCTCGTAGTTAATCATTTCCATAATCTCATATAGTTCGTTAATCGTCTTAGCATCTTTAGTCATTTTGTTAAATTATTTCAAAATTTCTTCCTCTTCTTTTTATATATCTTTTAACATCATCACTAGAATGGCTATTTTCTATTTAAGATAATTACTGTTACTTAAGTTTTATCTGCAATAACTTTTCTTAGTGGTACTTCCTAAAACAAAGAAGACATTAACAATAAACAATTATTTTTTAATCAAATGTAAATAATAATTTATTATTCATTCTAACCAATCCAACAATTCAGGAGTGAAATAAGTGATGATAATATCAATCCCTGATCTAATGAATCCTTCCATATATTCTAATACTACTCTCTTTAAATCGAACAATTTCTTTTCTGCACCAGCATGTAACATAGAGTATTCCCCACTAACATGATAACATGCAAGTAATGTATCTGGATGTCTTCTCTTTATTTCTGCAGCTATATCTAAATATGCAGTTATTGGTTTAACCATCACATAACCTGCTCCTTCCTTCAAATCTCTCTCTGCAGCCTATAATGCCAATTATCTACTCCCTGGTGGCAATTAATATGAAGATCTATCAAATTTTTAAGGAGCTGAACAACAGACATCTCTAAAAGGACCATATAATGCTGAACAAAATTTAGATGAATAAGACATAATTGGAACTCTCAAATTTGGATGTTAGTCTAACAATTCTTTAATTGCTCTAACTCTATTGTCCATCATATCAGATGGTGCTACTATATCAGCACCAGCCTATGCATAAGATAAAGCACATTCACTCAATCTTTTTATACTGGCTTAATTATCTAAGTATCCATCTTTTGTTAATATCCCACAATGTCCATGAGATGTATATGCACACAAACAAACATCAGTTATTAATAACAATTAAGGAAATACTTATTTTAATAATCTTAATGCTTTATGAACACATGATTCCTTTCCTAATCCTCCTGCCATTGATCCAAATTCATCCTTATCTTCATTTCCAATCACTCCAAATATTAATACTGCTTTTAATCCTTTTATCACCAAAGGTTCCAGTAATTCTTTTAATAAATCAACTGAGTATCTATAAATATTAGGCATTGAATTTATAGGTTGTTTTTGATTCTCTCCATCAACTACAAATAATGGATAGACTAATTAGCTCTTTCTAGGTAATTAGCTATTCCATAATTTCTAAGTTGGATGAACGAATAGTGGATGTAATTTGTCCATAAATTATATTTATATTAGATAAATTAATATTTTTATACAAATATATTATCATCATAATTTTGAATTATGATAAATTATGATAAACTGTTTTATATAAATTGTATATATTGATAATTTTAAGATTGTTAATCATATATAACAAAAGATAATGAATATTTAAATGGTAATTTTAGATTATCATCTTAAAAAATTTATATTATTTAATATATTAACAAAAATAATCATTATTAATTATGGATAATCATATATTAAAGAGTTTTTATATTTGATTTTTTTTTGGGAAAAAATTGTTAAAATTTCTTATTTAATGATTATTATTATTATATAAAATGAATTTTTATAATATAATATATATATTCATTATAATGACAATTTCTTACTTAGTATTGGTTTAAAAGGAATAGATTAATAATATTAAATTTAATTTGATTTCTTTTTTTTCTCTTATCTTTAATGTTCTTAATACAATCGATCGAATGGATTGGATTCTAATTAAAATTAAGTCACATATGAATTATAATCTGATTATGGTTTCTTTATTAATGATTCAGATTTCTTATTCATATGTGATATTGAATGTTCTTTCACATCTGAAACTGATTTTACACTACTATGATTATATAATCTTTCAAAGACTTTTTCATTTTGTCTTTAATTTCCTTAATTATTAATCACAGGAGTAAATGTACATTAATCTAATTCAATCTATTATAGTTCCTCTTATTTCAAAGCCATATTATTCATTTTCTCGAAATGATGATTATAAAGTCTCTCCTCTACTGAAATACCATCTTATTATTACAATTTCATAGGAGAGCTAATTAATTAAGGACGATAAGTAAATGATGAATCTTCATTATTTCTAGGTGTTTTATTTCTTTAAGTTAATGCATTTTAATAGAGTCTATCAAACGGATTTTCAACTGATTAATTATTACCAATTGACTTTGTATTAATGGATGGTTTAAAAGTACAATCCTTTAATTCTTATTTCTAATTAAGTTCTTAAACTATTTGTAATTTAATTTTTGAGTCCATTGCATAATTGTTCAATCTAATATGAGCTGGAGAATTCAATTCTAAATTTTAACTCTTCTTTGTTATTTAAGGTTTAAACGTGCACTCCTTCATAAGATGATTGATTTACTAATCACGTTTGACTATTTGATTTTCTTCATTCAATATATGTTATTCATATAAATGATTTAATTAAGAACTAGACTTTGTATGTATTTCACTAATTGACATCTTCCTTTATTAACTTTCTAATGGAGATTCTTACTTTTGATCTCCATTATTATTGTTCCATATCTTTACAATACGTGTAGATAATTCAATCAGTTATTCTCTATTTAAAGTAATCAAATGCATGAGAAGTGTTTCTTCCAAAGTATTTTTTTACAATTTAAAGGATTCTTAAAGTGCTAAGAGACCAAGATTTCTGCAATAAGTAGAAAACTCATTCAGATATTAAACCATAATTATTAAATCAGATAATTAAGGAAAATTTATATTATTAAAAATATCCATATAATAAGAACTTCATTTTCATTCGTGGATTCAACTTTCTACTATTATTGATTATAAATAAGAAATAATATATATATTAATTTTGAATATTCATAGTAAATTTATAATATAAAATAATTGTAATGTCTCTACCTAAAATTATATTTTTTTAGGATATGGACCTTAAATAGATATTAACATTCTTTACTATATATATTTACAAATCAATTTAAGCTCTATCTTTTAGCTGTCATTTGTTTTAGAAGTATATAACCTACAATTAGATATATTAATTCAACAATCAGCCATAATATTGCGTAATTGTAAATACTATCAGTGCAACTTGTGACTGCATTCTGAACAACTGAAATAGCTTTAAGAATTCCTTAATTTTAAAAGCATGTCTTATTCAATAATTATTATGTGTATTATGCAGTTTTCTTTAATCCTTCTTGATTATTCAATCCATATTAGAATACAAATTATGATAATATGACAACTATTGCCATTACTACTCCTAATATTACAATACTTTTTTCAAGTATTTCATTTAATTTAACTTTATATGTAACTTTTAATTATTTGAAGTTTTTAGTTTTTGAATTTGATTTAAATTCTACACCTAATTTAATAACTGCAAAAAATATGAATCCAATAGTAAATAGAATAAATGAAAAATAGCATACTACTAGTTCAAATACTTAAATAAAAAGACAAGAAATATAGCATTATGAAAACTTATATCTTATTGCTTATTGACATTCATCTCCTTAATTTACATATAATTTCCTTAAAATATAGATTCTCATAGGATCATCATCATTATGATATTTCTCATAATAAGGTAAATTGGCAGTGAATATATTATTTTCATTTATCAATTAACCATGAGTTGTTTCAGCTAACATTATTGCATCATCCTTCCATGATGAGTAACGATCACAACCAATATATTGAATTGTAGAAAATGGATATGATAATTTTGATTATTTGGTTGGACCTAATACTGTGTTAAAACAAGGTTTATCAGGAGCTATAATTAATTTATAAAAGTCTCCTGCTAAAAGATCTTCTTTTCTAGAGAAGGAAAATTTAGAATTCATAAATTAAATACCATTTTAATTAAGATCAACTTCTTAGGCCTTATTTAATCCATTATTACCATTAGAATCCTCATATTTAATACAATATTGTCTTCCATCTAATGTATATAATTTCTGTTATGCTGTAGTATCCACAAATTTACAGGGTTTAAGACATTATTGATTAGATGTTTACATATTAGGACAAATACATCCTCTATTTGTTCCAGGAAAATAACCTAGAGATGATAAACAAGTTTCATTCTCAGATTTTTCAGCAATATTGGTTATAACTTATTAAGTTACTTATTTTTATAAGACTTTTATAACTGTATAAGCAGAATTCAAATCTTCATAAAATTTATCTACAGGTAATTCTTACATTATAAGATAACCAAATATAAAGGAAATGATCAAATTAATAAGTGTTAAATGAACAATTTGATTATTATTTTTAAGTTTTTGATTTTCATTCATAGCTCCTATTATTGCTATTCTATGATTTTTGAGTGTTTGTAGTAATGTTTAATCTTCAAATGATTTATCATTATAATTGATTGTTTGAATCATAAGATAATTATAATTTATATTTTATTTTATATGTTTTTGATACTCAATTGATTCATCATTTAAATTGAATCAAAATACAAGTCATATTATCACAGCCAGTACCCACTATAAAATAGATGTAAATATTTACTTGATGTATCTTTTGCTAACAATTAATCAAGCAATTTTTCAGTAGCCTTCTATAGATTTTGACTACTTTTCAATTCTTAATTAACAAAATTAAGTATTTATTAATGATCCCATGTTTCAAATACTCCATCACATCCCATCAATAAAAATCTAATAAAATTAAAATATATTAAAATTACTTATCAGCAGGAGTCAATTATGTTACTTTAATATCAGGTAATGCAGAGATTATCTATTCCTCAGGCTTAAATCTATTATCTTTTTTATATTCCAAATCTCCCAAAGCTCTTGATAAAGAAAGATTTCCTTATATATTATTAAAATATTAAACCATTAGCACGACCATCAGAAACAAAACCTCCAGCTCTTTCTATTCTCTTTTTCTCTAAATCGTCATCTGGCTTATGATCTTTACTCATGTCAAATGGTTTTCCGTCTCTATTTAAAAATGCTCTTGAATCTCCAGCATTAGCAACATATAATATCTTGCCAACAATCAAAGCTACATTAGCAGTACATCCAGCCAAAGATGCTAAAAAAATTTTGATATATATTACCTTCGTCAGTTACTCCTCTTATTTTATTTAACTCATCTTAACCAGCTGGCTCTTATAACATTTTATCAATTTTAAAAAATGTTTCTGTCAAAGCCTTTTCATAATTTTTTGATTGATAGTTTTTATTCTTCATCAATTCTTCTTTGAAATGTTTTTCTGCAAATATTGCTACTTCACTTCCTCCATGACCATCGAAAACAGCAAATAAATGAACATCTGGCTCTATATTAATATCTGAAATGTGAGCATCCTCCATTGTATTTCTCCATCCTAATATATTCATAATTTAATACCTTGCATATGAGTGGCAGCATATTGGAGTACCTAATTTTAACCTGTAACTGAAGTCTTCTCTGTTTTTGGTTGGCTTAGATACGGTCCCATTTAGACTTTATTATTTAAAATAGATATTTATTAATAATGTTCATTATTGCATATGCTCTTTAACTCAATANAGGAAATGATCAAATTAATAAGTGTTAAATGAACAATTTGATTATTATTTTTAAGTTTTTGATTTTCATTCATAGCTCCTATTATTGCTATTCTATGATTTTTGAGTGTTTGTAGTAATGTTTAATCTTCAAATGATTTATCATTATAATTGATTGTTTGAATCATAAGATAATTATAATTTATATTTTATTTTATATGTTTTTGATACTCAATTGATTCATCATTTAAATTGAATCAAAATACAAGTCATATTATCACAGCCAGTACCCACTATAAAATAGATGTAAATATTTACTTGATGTATCTTTTGCTAACAATTAATCAAGCAATTTTTCAGTAGCCTTCTATAGATTTTGACTACTTTTCAATTCTTAATTAACAAAATTAAGTATTTATTAATGATCCCATGTTTCAAATACTCCATCACATCCCATCAATAAAAATCTAATAAAATTAAAATATATTAAAATTACTTATCAGCAGGAGTCAATTATGTTACTTTAATATCAGGTAATGCAGAGATTATCTATTCCTCAGGCTTAAATCTATTATCTTTTTTATATTCCAAATCTCCCAAAGCTCTTGATAAAGAAAGATTTCCTTATATATTATTAAAATATTAAACCATTAGCACGACCATCAGAAACAAAACCTCCAGCTCTTTCTATTCTCTTTTTCTCTAAATCGTCATCTGGCTTATGATCTTTACTCATGTCAAATGGTTTTCCGTCTCTATTTAAAAATGCTCTTGAATCTCCAGCATTAGCAACATATAATATCTTGCCAACAATCAAAGCTACATTAGCAGTACATCCAGCCAAAGATGCTAAAAAAATTTTGATATATATTACCTTCGTCAGTTACTCCTCTTATTTTATTTAACTCATCTTAACCAGCTGGCTCTTATAACATTTTATCAATTTTAAAAAATGTTTCTGTCAAAGCCTTTTCATAATTTTTTGATTGATAGTTTTTATTCTTCATCAATTCTTCTTTGAAATGTTTTTCTGCAAATATTGCTACTTCACTTCCTCCATGACCATCGAAAACAGCAAATAAATGAACATCTGGCTCTATATTAATATCTGAAATGTGAGCATCCTCCATTGTATTTCTCCATCCTAATATATTCATAATTTAATACCTTGCATATGAGTGGCAGCATATTGGAGTACCTAATTTTAACCTGTAACTGAAGTCTTCTCTGTTTTTGGTTGGCTTAGATACGGTCCCATTTAGACTTTATTATTTAAAATAGATATTTATTAATAATGTTCATTATTGCATATGCTCTTTAACTCAATATTTATTTAGGTAAAATATAAGATCCACTTATACTACCCAATCAAACTGGCATGCTTGTAGACATTTTTTATGATGTTATTGACTCCTTTAAAACTCGTAGAAATGAACAAATAGATTTACTTTATGTTGATCAACCTGATTAAGCCAATATAACTTTTGGTTTTCTTCGAAATTATAATTAAGAAAAGAGTATTGTTCTAACATAAGATGCAATTCAATTGGATTATTTAGAATATGATGTATTTCCTATGAGTTATACAAGTAGTTGTCAAAACCAATACTTACAGAAAATTATATTTTTATTTATCCAAGTCTAGTTGTAACACTTTTCTCTAGAATTGTATGGGAACTCTTTTTCAATTACATTATCATTATATTTCCTTGGATTATGCTATATGCAAATTTTATGATTTTTTTCCTTTCAAAATAAAAGTATAGAACATACTCCAAAAAAATACGTGTATCACTTTAAATTCTTGTTGGCAATCAAGAAACCAATCAGTAATTTAACCATTTAATCAATATAGATCTACTTTAATACTAAAAATCATGTTTATTATTATTACTTTTTTAATAAGTGCCATCATATTCATTGATTTTATATATGTTGTAGGAAATGCAATATAAAGACAAAATTTTAATTCTCTTAATGATTTAGCCATGAATCAATTTCAATTATGTTCTGTTAAAAATGATAAATTTGTCTCTGAAATGATTTAACGTTATAGAGATATTAGTTATCAAGAAGAAGAAAATATCAAATAATGCATTGACGTACTTCATTCCATCAATTATACAAGATGCTCTTTAAAAATGAAAATGCTGTCATTTTTGTAAGTGAATTCTAATATGGACTATTTCTAAAGAACTATCCAGAATATACATACTTAAAGTACTAATTAAAGTACAACTCTTATAGAAGTTATCAATTATTATTTAATTAAACAATTGATTATAATATTAGAAAAGTAATTATTAAATACTTACACTAGGATATCAATGCCTCCATAGATTAATTATGGCCTTAAAAATATGATCTAGATGTTAGGAAGAAATATTTAGTTTAATTGGTCTATGTTAAATCTGCAGTAGTTTCCTTAATATTTACTAATAAAACTTTTCTCACTACTAGTATCATGATATCAATAACTTCCATTCTTTTAATTTAAATATCAATTGTTAGAAAACAATGTAGATTATGTCGTAAAAAATTACCTTTTCCATTCATATCCCACAAAGCCAAAGTCATACGTACCAAAGAAACTAAAACAAATATGAATGATTCATAAATATTTATAACAGGGATTCTAGAAGAACTAAAAAATTGATTATTAATTATCTAAATTTTTAAATTATTACAGATATTTTATTTGTCTGGTTTAATTAAATTTTTATTTTAATTTGCTTCATGGAAAGTATAGGTTTTATCTATGAATCGTAATATTAAACTAATATTTATTTATCTGTCGTCACACTAATACTAATAACAAATTAAATTATTATTTTCATTCAAATTTTTAAATTTATGTTGCAATTTTAATTGATACGTCTAACTTCATATAATTCTAATGCAATTTATTATCATGTTTCGTAAGTGTTAGAAATGATTATCATTACATAAACAAAAATATACAAACAATAGTTATTTAATAATTATTCAATTGTATATATATGTTTTTGAACTGATTTCTTTTCCTCCAACTTATGATATGATTTTAACTGTCGTAGTGTCCTTTTTTCTTGGAAAAGTCTAACAAGGTTTCTCAGAGGCATAATGAAACTCATTCTTAATTAATTTTTTTCTAAATTATAACACTAAGGTTTTAGAAGCTGCATACTTGATTTTTAATCTTATGGCTGCCTAATTGTTAATATCTATATTACTTCTCTAATTTTCATTCCAGTTTAGAAGACTAAATGGAGTAAGGCTTATTTTTGATTTTTCGAAATTTTAACATATTATCTTTTTGTGCTAGACCTATTAGCCATGGTTTTGTATTATAATGATAAATATTTTATAAATTTTATGCACCTTTATGTAATTAAATGTTAAAAAGGGGGAATAAATCTTTAATTTTTATGTATTAACAAAGGAATAAATTTTTAATACTCAATATAAGAATTAATTAATCATTCATTTTATTAAACCATAAAATTAATAAATTATAATATATATATTTGATTATTGAATTACATAAATATATATATGATATTTTAATATTTAAACTGCACCTAATTTTTTGAATATGTAACAAATTAATTTGGTCTAATAACTATATTATTCATTTATTACTTCCTTTTTCATAAGGGTAAAATTCTATACAAACATTTCTAAACTATTTTTTTATTTTATGATGCTGTCTGAAGTAATTTAGTCAATAAAAAAATTCCTCAAAAGGTTATTTAATACATCTTTCTCTTAATTATATCAAACATAATAAAAATAGCATATATCACAATAAGACAAATTAATAATGATGACAGGTATAAATTTTTTTTATGTATATATATCTCATTTTATGATATTATTTCAATCAATTTAAATCATATACTTTTTCATTTACCTTCTCTCCACCTGTTTAAGAAATAATTTTAAACTAATATTTTATTTATGAAGCCTATTTAATAAGACAAGGCTTCTTTGATAAATATTTAAAACATTTTCTCATCTATTGCTACCTAAATTGAAGGATAATGGTTTTAGCACTTGCATAATTTATTGATAATTTTTGAGCTGCCTTAAAAAAGTTATTAAATTGTAATACTTATTTTATTTTTAATCCTTCTTGAAATACAAGAGATCTCAAAGCCTCCTTACATGTAAATGACACCTTAGCATAGGCCCTTTTTTATTACTTCTGCTATTTTGGCATCTAATTTAGGTTTTATTCTTTAAATTTAATAAATTCATCAAGAATAATTTTCCTAATAAATATCTAAAACAAATAAATCTTTTTATGCAATAATAACTCTAAATAAAGTAATGATGAATTAAATATTAAAAATATGATGACTTTTACTTTCTATATTAATATTCAGTTCAATACAGTGAAGATTATTCAAAATATTCTTTGCTCTGTAATTAAAAATAACAAGTAATTAATTATATATAAATTACATGTAAAGAAATTTATACTTTGATATTTTAATTTTGAAATGGTTTTACTCTAATCATTTTTAAATATATTTCTTATTCTTATTTTATAATTTAAGAAGTTAAATTTTTTTATAAAAATTTTATAATGTAACCATTAGATGATTTATGATAAAATTCTTTATCTAATTCATGAACAGTATTTAATAATTTTCAATACTTAATAAATATGTTTTTAATGTATGAATTTGTTTATTAAATTAAAATATTAGGTTTAGAATTATGATTAATTATATAGATTATGTTTTAATATATAAATAAATTGTAAATTTAATAATAAATCAAAAAATTAATTGAAATTCATTAATATTATATTCTGTTTTCAATATATAACCATTATCAAACATGTGAATTGATAATAGCTATAAATTTTAAGAAAATGATTATGATATATATACATTTAAAAAAAACATTTATGATTAAATTAGATTGTTTTAGATATATGTTGAATAACAATAATAATAAAATTATTAATTATTTGTGTTCGTTAAATGTTTAAGCATAAAAAATCTCCTTCACTTTTAGACACAACAAGATAATCTTTAGAGAAATACAGTTTATTAATTAGTGATGTTTCAACAATAAAAAAACCATAAATCAGTCCGATTAATTTCAAAAAGATTCGTACTCCCTCAACTCTTGTGGAACCTATACAAAAAACTTCAAGATAACTATCTTAATAAATCTCTTCTGATACTATAAATGAAATTTTGACTATTAATCAAAAGATAATTGATTTGTAATAAAGAAAGTCAGTTTTGCTTTAATAATTTTAAAGAGTGGAATATTCTGATACTCGAAAGGCTATTCGTTATAATAAAGATTTTAATAATAAGTATTTCGATAAATAAAGCATTACATAGATGGAAAAGAATTGGACACACTATTAAGGTTAAATGGATTAATAATATAAATTTAATGGAAAAGGAGTATTATATTATAAAAATGCCAAAGTTTTTGGAGTGTTTAAAGATGGTAATTTAGAAGGAAGAGCAACAATATTTGATTAAGAATATAAGATTAGAGTGGGATAATATAAATAAGGAATATTATAATAAATAGAATATCATTGATTTAATTTTTCAGGATCTTATAACTCGATATATTGGAATGAATAATCGTTATTATGTTCTTAATCATTTCCATTTAATTTTTATTCGAGTTCTTAATTGTTTCTTAGAATATAATTCAAGGCATCCTATGCAGCTGTTTATTTTCTATTTCTAATTTTCTCTTCCTTTAAAAATTATACATATATAAATTTACAATGTCTTATAATTATTTGTCTTTTTATTCTTTTTTTAAATATCTAATCATAGCATGTTTTTTGATTAAATTAATAACAATGACTTTTTAACCTATTTATTTAAATAATAACTTAGCTCTTAATCTTTAATTTAAAGCCAATTTTCTAAGAAATCTAATATTAGCAACTTTCTAAATATGATAATCTAAAATACCCTTTAAATTTATTCAATATTAACAAATAAGACTGGCATAAGTACAATAAACAATTTCCAAGCCATCCATAAAGCATATATAACATTAATAATAGCAAGTAAAACTTCAAAGAAGATAATAATTGGAGCATTTGGATCTGTAATTTGATTTTTTAAAGTTGCAATAACTAATGCAATATATATAGTTCCAAAGGCAGTAAAACTAGATATGACATTAACAAAGTTTTATCTTTTATAACCATAAGGTTAAGTAGCAAATGAAGCAATTCCATATAATAAAACAATAATTAAACATGATTCAGCCATGTAAATAGTATCATAAAAGAATATTTCAATGGCAGTTTGAATTAAAATCTTTTCTAAAAGTCTAACAAATTCCCAATAATAGTATTTTTCAGTGAATTCTCCATTAATATAATAATATTTATATTTTCTTAATGGTCTTTTATCTTTTTTCCTCATATCATTTCTAATATGATAAAGAAGCATAGCAGGAATATAAACAACAAAAAACAATAAACATGGTATAGAAATAAACAAAGTATAAAAAAAATGTTCAGTTCCATAACAATCTTAATTTAAATCTGGTTTAAGATATCTTCCATCTCCTATTGTTTTACAATTCATTAATTAAAGTGTTTTTTCATAAAAACTAGGTAAATAAAATAACCAAATAATTAACCAAGTAGCAGTATAATAAATACCTCTTTTAATTTTTTAATTTCTAAAAAGAATTGACCATATAAACATAAATATTATCATAGATGATAAAGGTTTTAAAACTTCAATAATATAATTGACATAAACCATTGGTACATAATTATTAACATTTATCATTGGACATTCTAAAGAGAAATCAAAAATAGAAGAATCTGAAGTATCTTATACTTAAGATGGAATATCTACAACAATTTTACTAACTAATGATATTTTTTAATAATAAGCAAGGAAGATCTTTAATAAAGAATTCAAATCTTTAACTTATCCTAAATTAGATCCAATTTTCTTTAATGGTGGTAACATTTAATTTAAACATGGTAGTAAACACAATATAACAACATCTTGTGCTAAAAAGAATATTGACATTGTAAAATAAAGGAATATTCCTATACTACTTAATAATATAATTGCAATAGGCCAATCAACTTATGAACATAAAATACATATTTATCTAGAATCCCTTGCATAATTATTTTCATAATCACAAGCTTAACACATTCTACCTGTATATCCATTTCCACATTAATCTTATGTTATACCACCTATACAATCACTGAATTCTTAATCACATTTATATATTTATAAAGTAGTGATATTCTCTCTCCAATATACTGGTTCCAAATCTGTTTATGCTCCACCATAACATTATATCCTATATTTGCTTACAAGAGGACAAACTTAACATTAACCTTAATCTTATTAAGTTGGTAATTCAAAAGAATAAAATCCTTGAGGACATTAATAACAAACAGTATAATTATCAAAACTTTACCAAATTTCACCATATAAACATTTTCTAAAAACCACAAAAAAAGTATAATTATAATTACTTACATAATAGTATTTGTATTTAGATAATGATTTTATTTCATCACTAGTTAAATAAAATGGATATTCAGTATCAGGTATTCCTATTGCTGTAACATTTTCAAGACTAAAGAATCCATCTTTGAATCTCACTTCATTATTCCCTCTACTTGGATTTGAAATACTTAGAGAGTAATTTTATGATCCAGATGGATAAATTTTTAGATAAACTTTATCATTATACATAGTTTAATTATTAGATGATTTCATAATAAAATTTAATGGTTATTATACAGTATCACCACTTTTAAAGTATTTTAAAAAATATTATCCATTATTAGAATAGGGTATAAAATAATATCCTTAAACAGGTTATAAGCTTTCATTATAAACATAAAAATTAGGTAATTCAGGTTCTAATGGAGTAGTAAGAAATAAGGCTGAAGGATAAGAACTTATATTGTCCCCTTCTATAAATGCTGAATTATTATTAAATATAGTAAGATTATCAATTAATGGATTAAATACAAGTGTCTTTAATGCTCCTCCATATTTCTAAGCAATATTATTGATAAATTAAGATTAGTTAATATAAATTACAGGATTATCTTATACCTAATTGATATCAAAAGATTGATTGAATGAATTTATATATATACATCCACCTGAATCAGCTGCAATATTATTCTAAAATAAGGAATTCAATATTGTTAATGAAGAAATATTCTGCAAATCAGCTAAGATAGTACCTCCTGAACTGTTTACATAATTATGATCAAATATTAATGAATCAAAAATTGCAAATTATTGTTGTAATGTAACATAAAAACAACCACCATAATTACCTCGACTGTCAATACATGAACCACCTATAATATAGCTATATGAGTATTTTATGTAGAAACCTGAAGATACACAATTATAATTTAAACATTACAACAGTTAAAATTGAGCAAATAACATATAAATTGCTGAATCATATATTTCTACCAAACTCTTATCTGTTGAACTCTAATTCTATATGATATTTTATAATATCAAAGTATCACTTTTTAGATATGAAAGATTTATGTAAAATAAATTAGAATTTTTTACTATAATATTTGAAAAAGTACACTAATTCAATTCAATCCAACTCTTAAAAGAATAAATTAATTCACCTTCATTTTTTTAATTTGCAAAATTCTTAAATTCAGTTATTGTAAAATTCTATAATATTAAAACACAATATTCCAAATAAAACAAAGATCCTTATGTAATTTAGATTGAATTAAATTTTTAAGGAGTAGCTGTTATATTATTACTATTAAAATAATTATCCTAAAATGTTATATTAAATAATGATGCTTTTATAATAGATCCATTATTAGAATATAAATTAGAAAATGTATTTTAAGTAAAATAAATTGATCTATTGAATTAATAAGGCAATACATCATCTATATTAATTATACTAAGTTGTGTAATATTCAATTATGGATAAGTTACTTATTACTCTCCTTAAACAAATAATAGTCCTCCATCTTTTAATGAACATATTTCTAAAAAAGAATTATATTTAAATATAATTTATGTATCATTTAAAGTATTATCAATATAAATAGCTCCATTTCCAAATGAATAAATATTACTTATATTGTTTTCAATAAAAGATAGCTATGAAATAATACCTTCAGCATGATACATTTCTATAATAAATATAGATCCACTATAAGAACTAATATAAGAGAATTTACTAAATTATACAAAAAAAGAAGCACATGATATCTAAGCAAAACCTCCTTTTTCACTTTATGTTCCATAATATACTGAACCAATAAAGTTTAATTAATTAACACTTATTGTATTCAAAGTTATTACTTATGCATTTAAAATAAGAACACTTGTACTTAAACTATATTAAATTTATTAAAAATTTGAACTTGTTATTAATAATTATGATTAAAATCCTTGAAAGAATAAAGCAGTTGAAGAAACAATAAAATTGGAATCAGCTGCTTGCAAATTCAAAAATGTGAAGTTTAATTAAGACAATTAAACTTCAAATTATGATCTTAATTATATATTTAATCCATAACAAGTATTTGCTAATGATTAAGAAATTAATGTTATCTGATTCATAATTATTTTTGAAATTTATATTAAGCATTAGAGATTGTTACATTAATATTCTCTTTCATTTATTATTTAAATAAACCCACCTTAATATACTTATCCATTATTAAAAGTTACTAAATTAATTTAAATATATGGTATTTCAGCTATGTTAATACTCAATTAGGAAGGATTTGTAAAAGTGTAATTAGTTATTATTAGTGCTTTAAAAGAAGATAAAAAGATAGAACTATTGTCAAATAACATATCCTATCCTTAAAAAGAGTATCCATTTTAAAATTGAAATGCATATATCTAATCTTATTGTTAGTACTAATTATTTTAAAGTGTAATAGATAATAAATATACATTATTCTATTAATAAACATTACTCTAAACAAAATTAATGATTGCTGCACCTATATATTATTATATGGCATTGTTTTTAATAGTTAAATCATTTACCTAGATATATGATGTACCAAAATTATCAATAAGAATATTATTAAATAATGAACTACAAAATTGATTTCCTATAAATTAAGCAGTTTATATATCTAATGAAAAATATTGAAATAACTATTTTATTTAGGATTATTAAGAACATTCACAATTTTAAACTAATAAATTCGAAATACGTAAATAAGTTGTTGAATCAATTGACAGAAGCTATTATAATTTAGATTCTGATATTTCTATATCTTTGAATTAAATGACATCAACAGATTATGTTTGAATTAATGGTTTTGTCATATCTTAATTGTTTATTGATAATGAAATTATTGAAAATTGATTGATTTACTTCAAATTAAAATAATAATAGAAATTATTATTAAATACAAGTTAACAATTCTACACAGTAGCAGCTATCATATCAGACAAAGATAATATCTATTATGGCAAGATTAAGGTCAAGTCTTATAATATTAATGATTAAAAATTGTTAATTTCTTATGCAATAATTATACTTGATTAAGTAGGAGATGCCCCTTTTATTTATAAACTTACTAAATTATTTATTGATTAATTAATTATGATTCTATTCCATATCATATTTTATTTATTTATTTATACAAATCCATTTAATCCTTCTAATTATTCTATTGTTTGATATAAAATATAAAAATTAGTCAAAGATATCTGTGTATTAATATAATTGAGCACATTACTACTATAGACTTAAGTAAAAGTACATTGAGTATTTTAAATTTAGAAATAATCTGTCATTTAAATAGACATGATAGAATATTAAAATTAAATTAAAAGGAAGTTTGAATTTAAAGCAAATTATTCACTAAAATATTATGTATCTAGAATAAAAATTGCAAAATTAACATCATTCAATAAATCATCAATTGAATAAAATGATAATTTATAAGAATTCTATTATAAAAGTATTAGAAACTCATTATAAATCAAAATCTATTTAAATGACACTCCAATATCTTATATATAATTATAAAAATATACCTTATATTGTTTTTACTGATTAATTATTGATTTATATAATAACTATTTATTATCCATTAGTTGCAATTTAAACTTAAGAGTCTTAAGTTACATAATTAACATTTTAAATTGTATATTTGTAATATAATTATAAATTAGTATTTGTTGTTGCAATACTAAATGAACACTAATATAGAGTGTCATCACTCAATAGAAAGTAAATAGAATTAGTTGATATAATGATTTAAAGTACATTGCTTGTAAAGATCTACTAATTTGTAGGAGTTGAACTAAACACACTATTCTAGAAACTATAACAGTAAATATTTTTGTTTAATGCATAAATCACATAGATAATATTGTTATATTAAAATTAAGAGACTAATTAAGTAGTATATGATGAAACAGTTGAATATTAGAATTGTGATTAGATGCTATAGCTGTAACATTAATATTATGTGAATTAACAAGTTTAAGATGTTTAGGAGAGAGTTACTACCAATCCATTTTAATATAGTATTAATATCATATCCTATTGAATAATCTGGATTGCAAAATTATTGTTATTGTTAACATTAATAATTTATTGTAGTTAATACCATTAATTATATATGTAGATATCACTACTAGATTTACCTACTTCAAGAATATATTTAGATTACAATATATAAGATTAACTAATACTATCAGATATATAGTAAAATGATCTAATTTTTGTACCAATTAAATTAGAATCTAATTGATAAATTTAGATCATCTCATTTCTATCTGAAGGATTATTTAATAATAATATAATGAGTTGATCTTCTACACTAAATTATAGTTATTTAATATTATTTGGACAAGTAGAAGTCCATGAATTTAGATTTCCAAGACTATTTGATTTAATATCATATTTCTAATATTAGCAAGTACTTGAAAAAAAAATAATATAATCTTCTATCAAATACATCTATATTGGAGTTAACTATAAATTGATTTATTAAGAATTTAATGTAATTGTTGAAGATTAATTATCCACTAAATTGATAGTCAAAATTTAACCAAATACTGTATATATATTGATAATAAACTCTGTATTACTAATAGTCTTTGTTGAAATTTAATAAAGAGTAAATTAATCTATTGCAAAGCTTTTCAACAGAAATTACATATTTTATGTATAGTATTCTAAGTAAGTCTATCCTCCAGCAGTAGTACCTGCAATTAGAGTATCATATGTTTGAATAATAAGAATCTGATAATTTATTAATATATTCTATAATTCCAAAGCTAAAGTTCTAATATATAGAATATCATACATTTTGCTTTTCCCAAAACTCTATTGCTTTAGTAATCCCAGAGTATAACTTCGTTCTGATTTGTTCCAACACCTATCAAAGAATTCATTGCATATGTAGATAACACACTTCCTACAAAATTTAAAGAAGCCTTTATTGGATTATCTTCATCTAAACTATATACAAGCAATTCGTTATTCTAGCCAACAAATATATTTGAATTCTCTGTCTCCAAATATGTAACACTCTATCCGTCAGCTGTTTACTAATATTTACTTACTTAACTTAATCTATCGTAATGTTCCTGATTCTGCTTATAGATAAACTATTGCATCCTAAACAGAAGTAATGATTTATTTGTAACCACTTGAATATACAAATAGATTCGCTTAATTATACAGATTTCCAAGGTAAAAAACACTCGGACAATCCTAACAATACCCTATTGCAAAGATTACAAAAAACCACATTAAATAAATAATGAATTTATAAATTTTTCATTTTAAATTTCAGACAATTAGACACCACTCAAAACCTTAAATATTTGAGATCAATAAGGATTGATTACTTAAAATTATTACCATAATAATATATAGATATATAATGGACATATCAAATTATGAATATGAATATTAATAATTACAGATTAATAAAAGAAATACATAAGTAGAACAAATACTATTTTGTAATTATTGGATTAAAATATAACATCTATGAAATTTTGAATACTTAAATATATACAAAACTATTCAAATCCTATATAGGTTCATATAAATATTGTTTACAACTCTGAACATCATCATCATATATCAAAGAATATGTTGTTAACTATTATTTAAATAGATTTTATTATATTTCATGATTAACACTAAATGATATAAAAAAGTGAGAGTATTCAAAATATGCAATCTAATAAAAAGTAGTATAAAATCAAAATTAATTGAATGTCAAAAAAATAGGAAAATAAAAAATTAAGAAATAGAATAGTTATTAAATTAATACATATTATAAGTGATAGTAACATCTATGATGAAGAAATTCAGCTGTAATACATATAAAGTTAAGAATGTTAATAATATTCTTAAATAATATTGGAAGAATAAATACAATTTCTAATTACTTAAAGATTCAACAAGTCTTATCATAATATCAATTTTCAAGGTTTGATAGTTAATACATATCTCCAAATATAGATTAACCATTGAGTAATTAATATCTTATATCGAAAAGTAATGATAATAGAATACTTATTGGAAAGTTTCATACATCTTTAAACTAGGTTTTAAGTGAGGATAATGAAGATTGATAAAGATTTAGAATATATGTATAAAATTATTTGTGCTTATTATTATACAATGGTAATATCAGAATCAGCCTACTTGTCGTATAGTAAAATGATATAATTATATGTGTGAATAATTATTTTCAGTTAGTGCTTTTAAATTTAAAATATGGATTATGAAACCCTCTTTATAATTCTTCCCAAAGAACCTAAGAAATGGTCTTTGGAGGATGTATCTCAATGGCTCAATTTTGTTGGGTTACAATAACTTCAAACAACCTTTAGTAAATTAGTGAACTTATATTGTAGCTAAAAATTCAATTGATGGATCATGTTTGGAGTTAATAGAAGAAAATGACTTGATAGAAGATCTAGGAATTACAAATAAGATAGTTAGAAAAAAGCTAATGCATTGTATATACTATTTAATAATGAAAGGGCTTAAAACAGGTCTAAAAGAATATGCATCACATATAAAATCAACAACTTTTGAAGACAGACGTTATGAAAAGATGGAATAAGAAAATACTACTCTTGAAAATACTGAATCTGCATAACCTCAATATGGATAGATTAATATCTCTCATGATATGATGACTAATTATATTAAGAATAATGAAATGTATTCACAATAATTTTAGTAACCTTTATGTGAAATGTAATGATAATATATAAATTTTAGTGAAAATAAACCATAGTTTTAAAAAAAACAATAGACCGGCATTTTAATTGAATAAGATCTTGAAAAATTTGTTTCAAAAGTATAAAATGAATTAATCATCCAACCAACAGAAGGACCATAAACTAATTTCTATTGTATTAAAGAATAAGGAGGTAAAATTGGGAGACACTCTAGCAATTAAATATTAATATTAGAAGAGAGCATTAGTAGATTTCATGCAGAAGTGATATTTCAAAATGAAGAAGTATTTATATTATTTAACTTAGTTTTATATTAAAGATATAGGATCAACTACAGGAACTTTTATTAAAGTTGAAACAAAATAATAATTGGAAATTGGAATGGTTGTTGAATTAGGTAGTAATTAATTTGAAATTTAATAAGTGAATATAAATGGCACTAATATTGATGTATATATTACATATTAAATTAGGTTGTTATGACAATTATTGAAGGACCAAATACTCCTGAAAAACATGTGATTAATTTGACACCTCAAAAAAGTGTAACAACTGTTGGTAGAAAATAAACTGCTGACCTCACTTTTAGTGAAGATCATCATCTTTCTAATATTCATGCTAAAATTTGTTTGATTGATGGCAGAGTCTATTTAGAAGATATGGGATCTACAAATGGGTATTTCATTTTATTAATATTTAGATCTTGGTTAAGATTATCAAGAGAAAGTTAACCTTCTTAGTTATATCCATTATAAAACTAAACAGTTTTTAAAATTGGAACTACATCAACTTATTTATGTAAACGAAATACATAATTGGTTGCTGATAGAAGTCATGAAAATAGTTGTATCATTTGTATTGAGAATGATCGAGATGCATTGTATATGCCTTGCAAACATAATACTGCTTGTTTGAAATGCAGTAAAAACTTAAAGGATTGTCCCATTTGCAGAACTAAAATATAGGATATTATAAGAATCTATAAAAACTGACATTATTATATATATATATATAAATATTTATATACAAAATCATGGGAGCTATTTGTTCTAAATAAAATATGTCTAATATAACCAATCCATAAAAAAGAATTAAATTTGCTACAGTAATTCCTATAGATGATAATAATGAATTCTAAAATTATATTGGAATTGAATTTTAATATTTGATTCAATAAAATCAACCCGATTATCATAACAAAAAGTAAAAATGGGAAGAGTATTATCAAAAACGTTAAGATTTCATAAATGATGAATAATATATTACACTTTTGAGATCTCCTTAAGCACTTTTATAAGTAGCTAATAATCAAAAATTATAAGAATAACAAGTTTCATCACATATTTAAGCTATTGCCATAGCATTAAAGGAACCATTTAAACATTTAAATTTAGATTTATTTGATGCTTATATATTGAAAGAGTTAAATCCAATTTAATTCAACAGTTATCTAATGGATGGAGCTATTCCTAAATTTAGATGGAATTGTTGGATGGCTTAAGTTTATTAAAATAGTTTATATGATGCAAATCTATATTCTTATTTAAAATGTTAGACATTATCTGAAAAAGTTTCAGATGATATTAAAAAAGATTAAAATAGAACATTCCCTCGTCATTCATATTTTAAGGAACCTAATAAAGGATAGTAATAACTATTTTCTGTATTACATGCTTTATCCATATAATATCCAGATATTGGATATGCTTAAGGCATGAATTTATTAATTGGATTTTGTTTAATTATTAGTGGAGGTAATGAGGAAGAAGTATTTTGGTTTATCAATTTTATTAATTAAAATGAAAGATTTAATTGGTGGGAAATATATAGAGTAGAGTTTATATTTGCTTAGAATCTATGCTAAATATTTTAAGATAATCTTTAAAGATTATTACCATAGTTATTTAATCATTTCTAAAAAAATGGCATTTTTTCATTTTAATATGTTTGGTAATGGATACTAACTCAATTTTTGTATTCATTTCCAATTTAAATTGTGTTATTCTTTTGGGATTTCATTTTAGCTACTGATATATATTCAATTCTCAAAATAGGATTAGCATTTTTAAGTGATATTGAAAATGTATTAATTGATTATGATATCAATTAACTATCAGAATTTTTTAGTTTATAGACTAAAAAATAAAAAAATATAGATATTACAAATTTATTAAATAAAGCTAAAAATATTAAAATTTGTATTTCTGATGAATAAAATATTATAAATACAAATTGTAAACCAAAAACACTAAAATGATTGTAATTTATTTATTTATTAATATACTTTTTAATAGATATTCGTCTTAAAGAATAGTAAATTAACAATAAATTTAATTTAATTTTCTAAATGAATTCCATAAATTCGTAATATTTTATAGTTATTGTATTTTTATAATCTATTTTAATTTCTTTCAAACAAGGAATGATTATTTATTTGTTATAAATAATAATTTAAAATTCAAATGAAACTTAATACTCAATTACCTCCAAAGCATAATTTTAATGCATCATTTAATTATGATTGGGATATTATGAATAAGAAAAGAGAAATTGAAATGCTGAGACCTAAAGAAATTTTTCCAAAACGAAATCACTCATTTCATACTAGTTCAAATGATTGTGATAAATCTATACATAATCGTTCTTTTGAGAAATCTATGTAAGAAACAGAAAAAGTTAGTTCAAGAATGTAAAATGAATTTGGCTAATTGAAGACTCTTATTTAGAAAAGACGTGATGAAATTGAAAAATAGTAAAGACAATAGAATCTTAAACTTTCGATATCAATACCCTTATAAAATATAAAAGAAGATACTAAAAAATAAAAAGAAGAAGCTCCATAATTCAATTATTATTAAACATTCAAACCCATTTTTGCAAAATTAAATTCATTAATTGAGAACTCAAATACTAAAGAATAAGATAGATAAAGATTAGTAACTTTATTTGATTCAATTGATTAAGAATCCATTAAAAAGAACAATGAACCTGAATAAATGTTTTAATTAGTTGAATAATTAGTTAAAGAATTTGTTATTCCTACTTTAGAATAATAAACTCCATCTTAATAGAATTCAAAACGTAGTTACTTATAAACACAATCATCAAATTTTATTAAGTAATTACCATCTCATCAATAAATACCTAAATCTATTGAGTAATCAATTAATTATAAGAATGTTTTTGAATTGTAATATAAAAACCCCTTTTAATTTTATACTTAAATAAAGAATAATGATTGTGGATATTATGAATATTGTATTAATAATAAAATTGTAATAGGAGAATCTTTAAATAGTTTTAACATCTCAAAATCTTAGTCATGTATATTAAAGACTTAATGCTCTAACATATAAGTGGATTATAGATAAATTAAATAGTCCTTAATATAACAGTAGATATTTAGTATTGATGACTAATTTTCTCTTGTACCAGTGATTTAATATTAAAGTAAGGTGATTTATGCTCTAAATTATCCCTCTTAGTATTGTAAATAAATTTAACAATATATCTCATTGAATATAAGTAATTACCAATACAAAATGGAATTGGCTATGAATAAACTGAATAAGATTGTTTTACTGTAATAAAGACTAAAAAGATAATAGGTTTTTTCTAGATTGAACTAATTTATGAATCAATTAAGGAGTCTAAAAAGATTGATTTAATAATTAGGATTTAAAAAATTGAAATAAAATTACTATTAAACAAAATTTTAGAAAAGTACAAATAATAATCTTTGTAAGTTATTACTTTAAGCAGCAAAACAAGTGAAAAAAGATCAAAAGAATTATGCAACTTAATTGTTTATGGTATTGCAAAAGTATTAATGTAGATTAAAAAGTAATGCAATAACACAATTAATTGGGAATGATGATTTAATTATAATGTTATAAGCATTATAATCAGAGAATTCAATAGAGATGTATTTGCAATAAGTAGCTTAATTGATGGGTGAAAAGTTAGCAGTATCAATTCTAAATATTGAGATATAATCATTGACTTCCTATTTACCTGAATATGGATTAATATAAGAATATTTTGAAGATATTGATGATATCTCTTAATTTAATACTCTTTATTAATTAACTTTAAATATAAATACTGAATTAATGAATAATTAGAATATTGAATTTGAGAATCGACATATTTGGAAAGTGAATAATGAAATATTTTTAATAACTTCATCTAATATGTAGACTCATTATTTGAGTAAGATAGCTCTAATTTTAACAAATGGAATTAATAGTTTAAGATAAAAATATTTAGAGTTTTTTAAATTCATAAGAATTAGAGCAGAATAATATTAATAGAAGATGAAGTCTAAGTTTTTTAATAGATGGAGAAATAATTAAAGTGTATTTTTAGATAAATTAAGAAATGAACTTGGTTGTTCTAAATAAGAATAAGATCAATAATAAAGATTAATTTATTAATATGAATTAGAATTATAGAATATGTAAATATAAAATGCATTAAAATCAAAATGTTTAAGTAGTGCAATGTTAGAAAATACATTATCTAAGAGAGAGAATGAACTTTCATTAAAGGAAACTTTCTTTAAGTTATGGAGAAGTAGAAATAGTAATAGAAGACATTTTGAGTAGAGAGTGGAAACAGGATTATTTTTATTGGAATCAGCAATTTATAAAATTGAATAATGTTAATTAGATAAGGCATTTAGAGAAATTGCATTCTCTTACACTTAACCTAATGGTATAATACCAACAAGTCCAAATTTAAAGAATACAAAAAGGAGTTATCATACAAGAGAATAAACAAGAAGAAGTCAAGAAGAATTAGAATAATCTGTTTTATGGGATGTGCATTAAATGAAAATTCATACACCAAATGCTCATAAAGGATAATCCTTATCTCCAATTACTGCTCATACAATAAATCAATCTTTTCTATTAGAAAATGAATCTTTGTATCAATATCATTCATAAAGATGGTAAGATTTTAGATTACTATAGATAGCACTTAATAGCCTAAGAAGAAAGCATAATAATAATAATCCTCACATTTAGATTAAGAGAATGTGTAATCACAGAATAAAATATATTCTCAAAGGACTAAGGACTTTGTTCGTAAAATATCTTAGCCAAAATAGTAATAATAAAACCATAGAAGAATTAATTCAACATAACCAGGAAGTTCTTTTTCATTTTATGATTTATAACATTGATTAATTTCATTAAGATCTATTAATGTTGAGTTTCTTTAATTTTCTCTAAAAGGAATTTGCTATACTTAATTGATTAGTATTTTATTCTAATTATTTCACTAAACCTTGCATACTCAATCCAACTTGAGTTAATGATTAAACTTTTTTTTTACATTCAGCCATAGGAGATATTTTAGATTCTAAATATTTGAAATATGTTCTATTATCACTTGTTTTTATATCAATAATATTAATTGGAGGTAAAGCTTATTTACCTTTTAATTCTGGTAGTCTTAATCTATTATCAAATCCCTTTTTATTTTATTTATCAACATATATATTCTTTATCAATTTTCTTTTATATTAATTCCAATTTCTTTTCTCTTCATATAATAATTTAAGATCATCATCTTCAGGATATTATTTAATTTATTTTTAATATGCCTCCAATCTATCAGAAGGTATAATCATTTTTAAATTAAATGAACTAATTGAAATAATTTCAGATGGAATAGATGTAATATAAGAACATTATGATTCTTCTTCATTTAATAAAGCAAAATCACCAAAAATTTCACCATCTCCTAATTCATCAATTTCAAAATAAACATCTTAATTAAATAAATCAGTGCTGCTTGTAGTTTAACCTCTTATTAATGAAGATGGATAATCTTCTAAATTCCATTTAATTTTTTTAATTGCTTTAACTCTTCCACTTTTAATTATATACATTTATGTTGGTTCAACCCCTTATTTTAATAGTATTTATTATGAAGGATACATTTATATTTAACATTTTGTACATAATTAAACAAGTAAATCTTTGTTAAACATTTGAAATACTGGAAGAGATTCTAAAAATTATAGTAATTTATTTAATGCAACTGTTTTCATTTCATTTGTATTATCCATAGTTTTCATATATTCTTAAAATGCATCTTTTTCTAAAACTATTAAATCACTTCTCTCATTTGAAATTACAGTTGCTGTTCTCTTTGAATTATAAAGCAAAGATATTTCTCCAAAAGCATCACCTTTACCCAATTAAGCTATTTCTTTCTATATAAAATAAACTATTCTTACAAGTTGCATGAAATTCTTAAATTCTGTTGGTTCATCAATATAAACTTTTACACTTCCATTTAGTATAACATAGAATGCATCCCCTTAATCACCTTATTTAAAGATATATTATCGTTTTTCATATGTTTTGAGATAGAGATTTTTACATAATTCTAAGAAGTCTGGTTTTTATTTGTATTGTGAAAGGAATTTAATTTACTAAAGTAAATATATATTTAAGGAGATTTACTTAGGCAATCTCAGCAATATCTTTACAGATTGGTTGAGTTCTTTGCTCAATTGGTACTTATAAAAGCAGTTTGAGTTTTTCAGTTTAATAGATAAATTTCTTTTTATTCTGTTCTTCTTCATCTTAACTGGCTTCTGTAACAGTTCTTTATTCCATCATTACAATAAATAAATATATATAAATATTAAAAATGTTTATAAAAAACTTCTTTAAGAAACAATCAAGATTTGAGAGAAAACTATTCGAATCATCAATATTTGATAATCAAGAAACTGTTGATCTAGAAGATGTAAAATAAATGTTACAAGGTAAATTTGATTAAATCTATATAGGATTTCCATGTTTATCAGAAATTGACTAATTAGTTTAAAGTATGACTTTAGTTTAAGTGTGTCGTGAATTTCTGAGACTCATCCCATAAACACTAGACAATCATAAAAAGCTTAAAGTTCTTCTCACTATGCATGTACTAATGGGAGATGTCAAACATGGTAGATTATTTGTATAGTAATTAAATTACTTTAATGGTTGGGTACCAACTAATAAAGAGGACATCTTAAATAAATTCATAGGAATTCAAACTATGATAATACATAAACTTGCTAGCATATAAGATATATGTACAAGAAGCAAACTCAAAACAAGCATTGAGATATTTTTCAAAGATATTGATACATCAGTAATTCAATTCTACAAAGCTATTAATTGTCTTAACTTTATTCTAGCTTAATATGATGTATGAGTTCTTATTAAATTTAGTTATTCCTCAGTATTTCAAAACTACACAATAGAACAGTTGTAATGGAAATTTACTTGTTAATCTGGAACGATCTAATAGCCATGTATTTAATGCTTGAAAGGTACGGTTTATGAATTCTCTTTTTAAGTATTGTAGGTTCATACGACAATTTATGGAGTGCTATACATAGCTAGATCAAAAATAAGCATTATAAGTCTATGAACTGTTTAATGAATATAACAAATTAACATCTTCTGTGAGATAATTTGGATTCATTAGCAACAGTTTTAAAAATTGCAATATTTCCCAACCTAAGTAATCTCATATTTCATATTAGATGGTATATACCAACAAAAAGGGAGTAGGATGAATTACAATTATATTTTTAGAATGTTAAAATTTATTTAACAAGTAGAACTAAAAGATAGAAAATTGAAAAATCTGCTTCTTAAGTCTTGAGAGTGTGTCAAAGTACAGATAGAGTCTATAGAAAATCAACTTCATTTGTTGGATAAAAAGGTGATAACTTTCTTCAAAATACTACTTTAGGGTATATGAAAAAAATATCTACTGCTACAAATCCTATTGCATTTTAATATACATTTGAAAGCGAATCAAAAACTGAAATTTAATAGAAATGATCTATATATCAAAATTTATGATATGGAAACATATATAAATAATCAAATTTTTTATGCAAAATATTTTACGTCAATATCCTGATCTTATTATAGAATTCTTGCTTTATTTTTGAACTCATTTTGTGTCTTATTGTCTAATTTATTTTGGATTGTTGTAAATAACTTAAAAATATTCAATCTAACATTAGGAACTTTATCATTCAAAGACTTCTGTGTAATTTCCTTTTTAAATATTATATATTGAATACTTTAAACTAATTTACTAAATCATCTTTTGATAATGTATTCTTTAATTTTGCTATACTATGCATAGCTGATACTCTATAAATATAATTTGGTTATTCAAATTGTAGATTGATACATTTTAAAATAAATTCTCTAATCTTATCATATCCAAAGATTTCACTCAATTAAATAAGATTATCTATAGCTTAATCTCTAATTGCTTAATAGTGATTTAAAACTCCTTTTTCAAGATAAACTTCTTATAATTCTAAGAAACTGTCATAACCTGCTACTTTGAGAAGTTTTGGTATGATTGACATCATTTCTAATCTATATCTCCATTACTTTTCTGAAGCAAAAGTCTATATAAGAGGTACTAAGTGTTTTTTTGAGTTATCTTATCCTATTGCTTATGATAATTGATCTAAATTATGTGCTAGTTTGATTTTGATTTCAACAACATCATCTTTAATTAATGTTGTAATTAAGGGTATAAAACTTTGTAAAACAATTTAAACAGTATATTATTTAGAAATCTTACAAATTTGTTCAGCTAAAGACATTCTAACATGTTATGAAGTGTCTGTAGATAAAGTTTAGAATAATGGTAGGAATAAATCTTTGCTAGAAGTGGGTAATTCTTTTAATAAATGATATATGGATATAAGTGCCATAGATCTAACTTCAGGTTCTGTGTCTTTGAGTAATTGTTAGAATACAGGTACTGCTTAATTTTTTAGAATGGTTTTATTTTTATCTAAAAATTTGAAAATTACAATTACTTAGTTTAACAATGATGTCAATTATGCTTTCTAGACATTCTGGAACAGTGTATCTAACACGCCAGCTTTTTTCTTTAGGATCAGCTAATGCAAAGTATCCTTGAAGTTAAGTTTCTAAATCATGTTCATCATCAATTAATTTAAGCATATATTATGACCCTTCTATTGCTTTAATTTTAACACTATCAATAGGATCTTTTAGAAGTGCTTCCCATAATTATAATAATTATTATGGTTAGCATTTCATTTTTGCAAGATCAGATAAAACTCCTGCACAAACTCTTCTGACCATTGGAGTATCATCTCCACATAATTATTTGAATAAGTCCCAAAGAGTATTTTATTTTTCTAATGAGACATGTTTGTAAGTGAGTGGAAGGAGACTGGCTGCAGATATTCTGGATGGAAAGTTGTCCCATTGACCTAATTATTGGACAATTTAAAAAAAGTGATTTTCAAAAAAACCTAAAAATTATATATCAGATAGAAATTACTATTTGGCATTCCTTCTGCAAGCAAGATTAAGGATTCAACTGCTTTATCTCTTACTAATGGCTCTTCCATGGAACTTAGAATTTCTAGTGGTGCATTAAGTAAATGAACATTGGCACCTGTAAATGGTTTAAGATTGACTAATTCTTTAGCTAATTTGATAAGAAATTCATCTTCATTGTCTTATTCTTCTATGATATCAATTAAATAAGGAATGAGTTCTTAACAAGTTCTTGATGGTCCAAGGATTTGTGCAATTGATACAATTTTGGATACAGCATTGAGTTTGAGATTGGGATCATCACTTTTGAGTTCTTCAATGAAAATAGTACAGTCTTCTTCGTCCATTTTAAAAATTAATTGGATTTAGTTTAATTAATTTCGTTAAATGAACAGACAAGAGAAATAGGAAGTTGAATAAGGATTACGTAATCTTTTAGAGGAAGTATTGAGAGTTTATAATATATAATCAGATGATGATATTTAGTAATGAGAAGATTTCTGGGATTGAGCACTGTAATTGTCAAGATCTAATACAGAGAATAAGCAAATAGTTTAGATAACTAAAAAACAGCAATTTAGAATATAAAAAGTTGGAATAAGTATTGTAATAATAAGAAGCAGATATTCGAAATCATATAAGTGTATGAAGAGATTGTTAATTTTAGTTAGAGTAGTAGATGAAGTTATATTAAGATGGACTTTAATCAAAATTAGAGGAGTCTAATTAAGAAGTTAAGAGATTATAATAGGAAATCTATAAATTAAAGAAATCTAAGTATGAATAAAGTATGATAGTTGTTAATCAGAATCTAAGAAAAAGGATTAGAGTCATGATGGATCTACTTCTTATAGATAAGGTTCTCCAAAAAAATAATCCTCCTTCTCATAACATGGAGGTTACACTTCTCATAGAAGTTCATGTGATGAACTATTTAAGAGATACAATAAATTGTTATAACAATAGTAGGCTTCTATAAGTCAACGATCAAATAATATCTAGATTAGTTAGTATATGATGAAAGGACGATAAACTTTAGCAGAAATTGTTAATATTCAACCAAGTAGAAGTCAGACAAAACATAATAGTAGTGTGAATAAAAGTGGATATAATAATTCAATAAATTCAGAGGCAATAAGAAACTTATTGAAAATGAAATGAATTATAATATTGTTTAAATAATAATTTAATGAATATTGTGATTTTCATTCTACCAATTGTATATGCATGCATAGACTCATTTGATTGTTTTACAGAGAGTTCCAGATTTACTTGTAATGGGGAACCATGTGCAGGAAATCTAACAGAACTTGATAACTTTGTAAAATTTACAAATAATCTTTCCATGTACTATGAATTAGATACCTATAATATTACTATGCTATTTGAATTACAATTATGCTAGAGATTTGCTATTGTGTTTAATTATACTAAAATGAATGATATGAATAAAACATATGATGAATATGACATTACCGGCAAAGACATCATTTTCTTTAGTTGGGCAGAAACTTATGATGATTTATATGTAAATGACAACATTGGAGCATCTGCAACTGCATTTATATGGGATGAATAATAAGGAGGATTTCAAAGTTGGTACATTTTGGGATATGCTATTATTAATGAAACAATTAGAATCAAAATTACTAGAGCATTGCTTACAGATGATAATGAAGATTATCAATTCAATTAACAATACGTTAATATAGGATATCTTATAGTATATAATAAAGAAGGAATGGTTTATAGGAATTATAATAGAGGAGTAATTTCAGTGGATTTATATAATTTGGATAGTAAGGTGGAGAAATATGAATAATTTACAGATGAAGGACATTCAATTTTTCTATTTATTTTTTGGAGTTTTCTATCAGATATTGGAATTTTCTTTGGAAGATAATTAAAAAGTTATCCAAAGTATGCTAAAGTTCATGGAATGATATTCTTATTCTAGAGTATCGTAACATATATCTTTGTTTTCAGTAAAATCGAATATAGTATTTTATATATTATAATATAGATAAATTAAAGATCCAAGAAATTTATTATTATGATGGATTGATTATAGCTCATTTTGTTGTTGGAGTTTCTATATTAAGTTTTTTGTTACTTCAATTAATGATGGGCATGATTGTCAAAAATAATCTAGAATCATTGAATGGTTCCAATAAAATCTATAAAGTTAAAAGGATTCATTTTTATCTTGGCTATTTCATCTATCTAGTTACTAAAGCATAGGTAGCAATGGGAGTTCATATTCAAAGACCAGATTTATTGTAAAAAATATAATTATTCAATATAGAATTCCCTTTTATTATTTCTATGTGTTTCTCTTTTTTACAAAAATGTCTATTGAAATACTCTATTATTATGAAGTATCAATTATACCAAGACAAAGAATCACATATCAATATGTAGAATTAGACAAAAATCAAATTTATGAGAATTTGATAGATAAAATAAATTAAAATGGTAAAATATTTTTAGTATATGAATTAGTTCCTAGAAATCAATTAGTTAAAGAATATTAAAAATTAAATTACATAATCCTTAGAGAAGCTATTTATGATGTTAGTGATTTTAATCATCCAGGAGGGTAGTATATTCTAGAAAGGATTACTGGAAGAGAAATAGGTAGGTATTTTTATGGAGGATTCCCAATTTAAAATTTAAATATCAAAATGCATATTCATACTTAATTTGCTATCAATTATATTGAAACTAGATACTTAGGAGATTATAGAAATGATAATTGTCCATTATTATATTACGAAGAAAATACATCCTAGAGTGATAAATATGTATGGAAATTTGAACAATATATTCCATTTGCTTCAGATGTTGGCTTATTCATATTCAAAAGTCATTTCTTTTAAGTTCGTCAATTCTTAAAAGGTGTTTAATGGTTTGGTCGATACTTCTACATAAAACCCTTTGGAACTGGTATCAATCTAGCAGAAAGACCATATTCAATTGTTATGTCATACACACAATCTGCTATTCTAAAGAGATAATAAATACTTGATTTTTTTAAATCATAAGTCATTGAATAAGATTACTAACCCTATTCACCTTAACAACAAGCCATCTTATCTGATGAAATTAATTTTGTTATAAAGAGATGTGATTTCTCAAATAACATGAGTCGCTTCCTTCATTGTACAGGACATAAACCATATGAAATTACAGGACCTTATGGTTTTGGATTAGAATTAGATGCTCTTTCTGATGGAATTCATTATGCTTTTGTTTAAGGCACTGGAATTTTACCATTTCTTGATTTTATTGATTACCTTCTTAAAAAAGCTATCTACACTATTCTACATGATTAAAGAAGTAAAGAAGTAGCTGATTGCATAAATGATAATAATGAGGAATACTTAACAACTCTAGGTCCAGATTTCTAGTTAATAGTTCATGCTACTTTTAGTGATATTGCTCACTTTTATGGACTACCAATTATTTAAGATTTGTTGTTTATTTGTAAAACCTTTCATTTAGACTTTTTTGATATTAAAATTATGATCAAGGATCGTAATAATATTCCAGAGGAATTGACAAATTATATGGTTGAATCATATTTCAATCTTAAATATATGAAAGAACACTTAAAATTCAAACCAACAAAAGTATACGTTTGTGGAAGTCCTCAATTTGAAGAAGAAATTCAAAGCAATTTATTTGATCTTGGAATACCAAAAAAATATTTAGTTATTGTGTGAATATAAATCATAACAACTATCCTCTCTCTCTTGTTGTTAATAAAGTAGTTAAGTATCCTTAAACTACAGTATCCATCTCTCCTCTTTGTAATCGTTAGATCTCCTCTTCCATTTAAGAAACAATAGATAATTTAGTTTCTCTTGATTTTATGGATAAGTTCAATAATCCTTTTGCAGCCAACCTTTAAGCATCAACTCTATAGCTTTCTCTTAAGACCTTTAAGAAAAATTCAATTCCCTTTAAATGTAATATCTGGGGTCTAATATAATCATTAATAGCCAAATTTGATAATGTTTAAAGAGCATTATATTAAAACTCTTCTCCCTTCTATCCATCTAAGGTCCAATCCATTAGACTTTTGATATAGTTTTCAAATTAAATTGATACATTATTAGTATTTTAGAGTCTTTATGGGTCAGACATTAATGAAAGTATCTTAATTCCCAACATTTAAATTCTAGGATAGGCTGATTCAATCATACTGATAACTGTAAGAACATCAACTTAAAAATCTGATAATTTAAGCGTAGCTGATAACATATCATACAATATTGGTTAAAATTCTTTAGGTTAATAAGTAAAGGCTTTCATAATTCTTGGTATTAATTTTAATTTAAGTGCTTCTTTAGCTCTTTCTTGATTCATATTTTTAGATAATGCTTCTAATACTCTTAATTACATTCCCAAATAATTTGGACTCATTGCAATTTCTAATAAATTGACAATCTTTTAAAATGCTTCTGGACTATCCATAATTTGATGTATAGTTGTATCAATTCCATCACTTAAATTTTAAATAGCAAATTGTAACATTTCTTCATTTGATTCTGTAGAAATTAAATTTAAATAATCTTATACTAATCCATCAAAGACTTATTATTGCATATTACCACCATATTGATTTAGATTTCTATTACTTTGAGGTCTATTATTTAAATTTAATTAAGGTTTGGAATATACTGGATTTTATGAAGGAGGTGGATAATTTGATTATAAAGGTTAGGACTAATAACCAAATTATTAAGGAGTAGGAGGTTATTTTATCATATTAGGGTGTTAATATTAATTTTAATCATTTTATTTGAATCCAAATTAGTTTGAATCATTTTACTTAAAAGGATATTAATTTGAGTCATTCTATTTATAAGGATATTGATTAAAATCTTATTATTATTATTCATAGCCATTCTAATTTCTAGATCCAGCACTTCCTTATCTTCTATTAGAATTTCTATTTGGTTATTCAAGTATAGTAGGAACATATTCTTCATTTCTTCTTCTTGGTTATGGAGGTAAATTAAGTGTTAAAGGACCATCATAAGATCTGGGTTGAAAACAATTAGTAAATTATGGTCTGGATAGAAATGAGATAAGTTTAATTATTCTAGATCTTGTTTAGGCACTAACGAAATCTAATTTGGAGACAGACATAAGACTATTTACTATTTGTGGAGTTTTAAAGGAAGTGGAGAATGCAGCTAAATTAATGATTTAAAATATATATACCACTTTTAGTGAGTATTTCTAATAGATCTACTGTTAAATTGAGAAGAAACTAATCTTAAAAGATTAAATCATTAGTCCAAAATTAGAGTAACTTAATTAATAATTAAGAAATGAGTGCATATGATTGATCATCTAAGAATTATAATCTCTCATTTTCAAATATTCTTTTTAATGTCAAAGCTGTATTGTGATTTATTGCTTTTTGTTATAATGAAAAACCTACAGGTACTATTAATTACATAATATCCATTTAAGTTTCAGGAGATCCTAATTCAGCTTCTATAGATATAATGATATAAAATACCAGCTAGTTTTGCTATAATTGTTTAGGTGATACTTTTTAACATGAATGTTAATTCATTTAAATCATGAGTAACATGCATTTTACCAATAAAATCTTTAGTAAATGATTCTGGAATTGCAAATAATCTATCAGAATTTTTTAACAATTCACTAACTATAGAAGCATTTGATAAACTATAACCGAATTCATCTTCTAATTTTGCACATACAAATGTAGGTTCATGTGGAAAGAGATCTGCAAATTCTCTTTCAATGTGTCTTTTTAACATAGAAATCTTAATACTCACTGATAATTGATAAAAATATACATGGTGCCATTACTGTCATTTTTTTATATTCTACATTTGACTCAGAATCTTTTCTTATTGTTACAAATAATCTTATAGCTTAAGTACCTATTCCTTCTATTGGTGTTTCAATTCTTTTATTATTATTCCATTCCATTTTTTAAGTAAAATTAAATTATAAAAAGTAAATATAAAAATCAAATGTTACTATCAATAGGGGATGATAAAGATTATTAAGTGATAAAAGATTTCAATTTTGGTATAATCTATTATTACTTCATAGGACTGGAATTGTAATCAAAATATTCAAAGTATTAATGACTTAATGCTTACTCTATATTAATTTATTGATCTATTTTAGTTTCTAATAATCCTTAAATTAGAGAATTACCATAATCAGGTATAGATATTAATTCTTTATTTATAGAGTTGTATTAATATCTAATTAAATAATTATATAATACAATTTGATCATCATTTTTCCTGCCATATTTAACATTAAAGAATTAAAAATAGGATTATCTTCACTTAATAATTCTGCATGTTCAAAACCAGCAAGTTTGCAATTCATATTCTTATCAATCAATATATTTTATAAAGTAATTTGTGAGTGAAAAATACGATTCGATATCAACATTTTAATACAACATAAAATATCCTAATTTAAAATTTAATATACAAACATCATTGATTATATATCTTCATGACAAAAACTATGATAATGTATCTTATTCATCTATTCAAAAATCAAATAATATGAATTAGATGATTCATAGAAATCATTTAATTGAGCAACATTCTTGAAATCAATTAATTTACGCAAAATAACCAATTACTCATATATTTTATACTTTTCAACCTCTTATTTTTTATAACATTTACAAATATATATTTTCCCATCTAATTTACTCTTAACTTTACATGTCTAAAATATAAAATTTACTTATTACTTTTGCAATTCCTAATTCTTATATTAATATAACATTATCATAAATATCTCTAATACCAACATATGTTGTTTTACAATCTAAATGTTTCTTTAATATAAGAAGATCTTCATTTGTAGCATAAATTGTAATTTATTAAAAATTCAATGAAATCAATTTGTTCTCTTAACATTTCCATTTTAACATTAGTTTGTATGATATTTCTATTTCATAACATTAAGTATTCAAAAGTAGATTTATTTTATTTGATGTGAATTACAACTTTGCTTAATGTGAGTAATGATCTGATTGTTAGAAAGAGATTAAACATTAAAAAGAATATATTATCTCCATATCTATCATTATTAATTAAATGAAATTTAAATAAATTCAGATTTATAAATTTTTGCAAGCTATCATTGAATAATAAATTTCTTAGACAATTATTGAAATATCACTTGACTGAAAAGTTAAGTTTGAAATTATGTAAAATTATAACTAATTATATATATAAATGATTATTCCATCCTTCATAAAGTTTAAGCCAAATTTTAATAACCTAATCCATGATTAAATACAAGTGTCTTCTACAATGATTTCTTTAACATGGCTATTAATATTACTCATATATACAATAATTGACATAAAATTATTATCTTTTTAATTTAACTAATTCTATTGCTTCTTTTAGATCATATTTTAATATTGAACTTAAATATAATACAACTATTGAAGGAGCTCTACCTATTCCAGCAGTACAATGTACATAAACATATTCATATTAATTAATTAATTTCTTTAATATTTATACTGCCTTATTTGATTTCTTTTCAAAATCTTCTGCATCCATATCATAAATCTAATAATTTTTCATCACTATATTCTATCGCTAATAAGCATCTACAATCTATTCCCAATTAACTCCTCTATGAAAAATATCTAAACGAGTTTATAAATTAAGAACTGCCTTCACTTATTTTTATTTTAATAATAGAATATCCTATTCATTTTGAGGATATGGACCAATAATTATATTTTCATTTATCTCATATGTTTAAAATTAAACTACAAAATTCCAATCCAATTTATTCAACCTCCCAAATTCTTCATAATAAAAGAAAGAAGGTTCTTTATCTGCAAATTAATAACCTTAACTATTAAGTTTTAACTTTGATTTTGGAATCTTAATTGCTTAAAATGATCCATTTCTCTTTTCTGTTCTTTATTAAAAAGCTTAATAGATTTGAGTTTTGACTTTAATTGGATGTAATGCATATTGATCAAGAACTTATCTAATTGAAGAGAGATCAGCTGTTTTAAGATAACGACCATTCCCTCTTTCCCAAATCATATTTCCAGTTTCATCATTTCGAATCACATAATAATATCGGAAATAAAAATTAAGAGGATTTACAATAAATGAAATCGACCATTGTTGAATAGGCTCTTATGTTACTATTTCAGAATTATAGATTGAATAATACATATATCAATCTTCTATTGTTATTTCATTAAAACAGGTGTTTTCCAAGAACCAATTTCTGGAATTGAACCAATAATCATCATCCTTTCTCCTGGTTATAAATTGTGATTAAGCTTCAATTTAATTGTTCTGTATCCCCAATACTCCTCTATAATGATTTAAAAACTAATACAATTAAAGTACTCCCCTTTCTTTCCATTTAATAATAAATGCTTTGTAATTAAACGATTTTCTCCAGGTTCCCATAATTCTTTTTAAGTAGATGGATTATTATAATCATTCACAAGGAATTTATACTCATAGTTTTTAAAAATTCTTGGCAATTTTAAACAGGTTGTCCATTCATTATTCTTTTTGAGCTTCAATACTATACCTGATTCCATTAGAGTCTAATTGCTTTAGTAGAATCCCAAATTCCTAATTGTTCATCGTCTCCACATAAGTAAATTGCTTATCCATATTAAGTATTGTAATGAATTTTAAGGTATATTTTAACAATTCGAATATCTGTAAATGATGGATTTGTTGATATTGAGTTCATTAAAAAATAATTAAAAAATTTAAGACAACTAAAATTATATTCAAATTTAATTCAATGAGATGAAGGTTTTTGAATTATTAATAGTATAAATCATTAAGTTATAAGGTAATCTTTTCTTGTGGATAAATATTCAACTATTTATTTTGGGGATAATCTTTTCTCAGGATCTAAATTTAACATTTCTTTTAAGATAAATCTTATTTAATTATCTACCTTAATACCTAAATGATTATTAAATTATTATTATACCAGAATAATTTTTATCAATATAACTATCTAAATTTTAAATAACTTCCATTTAACGATCTATAATTTTATCAAAAACTCGACCTTTAACAGCAAATAATCCATAATCAATAATTTCCTTTCCATTTTTGGTTACTATAGTTTTAAGACTCATCCAAAGAGGAATTCCTGATATAATCTCAAGGATTACACAACCAAGAGACCAAACATCTATTACCCAAGGTTTCTTATAATTTCTTAAATATTTCATTAAACAAGGACGATAATTCATTTAATTTTCATATAATATATAGTTTAGTATTTCTGGACACATATATCTAAAATATAATAAATATATTACTCTGGTGTGGCCATCGAAAATTATTTCAAATCATCAAAAGGGAAACTACTACCATAATCAATCAATTTAATTTATGTTAGTTCATGTAAATCATTTTCATTTTTAATTTTCTTAATTAGTATATTTTCTGTTTTAAGATCAGAATGTACAATTCTTTAATCTTATATTAAATCCAAGGCCTATGCTAATTCTCTTATGAGTTTTTTAAACTCTGTTAAATCTTTTCTAAAAGTATTATAAAGAGGTTTAAGTGTTAACTAAAATAGAATTAAGTGTATCTACCCTATACATGCGTTCATTATTAACATTTTTTCCTTTTAAATCATAAAGATGATTTCCAAGACTCTCTCCACATATTTCTTAAAATATCCAAGTGTCTTAAGGTTTAATGTCATAGGTTAGAAAGCGAACTAAATTTTTGCAACCTGGAAAATTGGCAAATTACTTTTTTGGTTGCCCATCTTAAAAGAAATGAATTCCAAACCAAATTTCTTTCATGTGAGATTAATGAGTATTTGTAGAAAGTATTTATTTAATAGCAAATTTTTCTTTGGTTCTTTTATGTTCTCCTAACCATACTAATGAAAATCCTCCTCTTCCAAGTAGCTTCTTCTTTTCAAAATGTTAAGGAAATCGATCCCCAAATTATTACCATTCTTCTTCTGACATATCCCACAAAATCTTAGGATGTACATTCTAATTCTAATTTTATTTATTATTGTTTATTCTATTTTGTGAATCCAAGGAAGCATAACGATCCTAACTCTTTTATTATGGAGTAGCATTGCTTAATGAACGTTGTTTTGGTAGAATATTCTTCTCTTTCATTTTTGCCAAAACCATTCTTTGATAAGTCTCTAACTCTGAGTCTACTTCAGTTTTCTAAACTATGCTAAAATACTTTACTATCGGTTTAACTTCAAAGCGTTATGGCTTAAACTTTTTGCTCCCCTTACTTGTTCTAATAGTTAGCACAGAATCAAAGTCGAATTTTGTAAGTTTTCTTGATATGTTAGTCTTAGTATCATTTTCTGTCAAGACCCTTCGACCTGGGTCTTGAGATTAAAGACGAGGTCGCATGTAAATTTATCTGTGATATGGACTTTCATTTGTTTGTACTCTTTAATGCATTATAACAGTTTTTGAATATATATATAAATAAATACAGAGAAGAGTACTGCGTCATTTTTAAATATTTAATGCTTAGATCTATAAGATTAATACAACGTGTGGCTAATTTTAGCAGGTTGGCCAATCCTCATGAAGTGAATCCCAAAGTCCCTGACTGGTTCAAGTCAAGTGATTATATTGTATTGATAATTTCTAAATATAGGAACCACGTTTTATTGGCTCTGAGCCATAATAAGTGAAAGAGATGTTGAAATCAGTGGAAGCCAATTCACTAGATGAGCTTGTTGACAAAATTATCCCAAAAGAAATTCGCAGCGAAGCAGCCTTTCAAAGTCCAGACAATTTTCCTGATGCAATCACTGAATCTGCAATGGTCTAACATCTCCAATCATTGGCCAATAAGAACAAGATATACAAAAACTATATAGGTTAAGGCTTTTATGGTACTCACACACCATATGTTATCTTGAGAAATGTACTTGAAGACCCAGGATGGTATACATCCTATACTCCCTATTAAGCTGAGATTTCTTAGGGTAGACTAGAAGCTTTACTCAATTATTAAACAGTAATCACTGAATTGACTGGTATGGATGTATCTAATGCCTCATTATTGGATGAAGCAACGGCTGCAGGAGAAGCAATGTTCTTGGCAAATTCTTGGTTTGAGAAAAAGAAATTTTTTGTAGATAACCATGTATTTCCATAGAGCATTGAACACATCAAGACTAAAGCATATTATTTAGGAATTGATATAGTTGTTGGTGATGCCAAAACTTATGATTTCAAAGATGCCGATTAATATTGTGGTGTTTTGGTACAATCACCAGATAATATGGGAGAAGTCCATGATTGGAGTGATCTATTTAAACATACTCTTAAAGATGCTAAACTCTTAAAAATAATTGGAACAGACTTATTGAGTTTAACAATTAATAAAACACCTAAAGATTAAGGAGCAAATGTTGCATATGGAAATTCATAAAGATTTGGTGTACCTATGGGTTTTGGTGGACCACATGCTGCTTTCTTTGCAGTTGAAGATGAATTTAAAAGAAAAATGCCAGGACGTATTATTGGTATATCCAAAGATGCCAATGGAAGATCAGCTTATAGAATGTCATTGCAAACAAGAGAATAACATATTAGAAGAGAAAAAGCTACTTCCAATATTTGCACAGCCTAAGCATTATTAGCAAATATGGCTGGATTGTATGCAACTTATCATGGTCCTTAGGGATTATAGAAGATTGCCAATAGAGTAAATTGTTTGGCTAGAAGCTTTGCTAAATTAGCAAAAAGTTTAGGAATAGTTGTTAAAGAAGGAAGAATCTTTGATACAGTAGTTTTACATAATACAGAAAATTTGTAAGAATATTTACATTATAATGCATAAATTAATGTTAGAAAAACTGGATAAGACACCATTTTTAGTTTTGATGAGACTCACACACTCTAAGATGTAGAAGATCTATTCAACCATCTTCAACATTTCACTAAGAAAAAAGCAGATTTTATGTCAGTGATTCAGAAAGTTATTCCATATAAATCTGAAAGAGCACCTTATATGTAATAAAAGGTCTTCAATTCATTACATAGTGAAACAGAAATGTTAAGATACATCAACTATTTAAGATAGAAGGATATCTCATTAGCTAAATCTATGATTTCATTAGGTAGTTGTACTATGAAATTGAATCCTACTTCTTTCATGTTGCCTGTCTCATTTTAAGGATTCTCTCAATTACATCCATTTTCTCCTTTGTCTTGTACTTAAGGATATTAAGAATTGACAGATAATGTTGAAAAATGGTTATGTGATATTACATAAATGGAAGCTGTATCATTAATGCCAAATAGTGGTGCTTAAGGAGAATATACAGGTTTATTATGCATTAGAAAATATCACATCATGAATGGACAAAAGGATAGAAATATTTGTTTAATACCAATATCTGCACATGGTACTAATCCTGCTTCAGCTGTTCTTGCTGGATTAAATGTTGTAGCAGTTAATGTAATAGATGGTTATGTTGATTTGAATGATTTGAATAAGAAAATAAAAGAAAATGAGAAATCTTTGGCATGTATGATGATTACTTATCCATCAACATATGGAGTTTATGAAGATTAAACAAAAAAGATTATTCAATTGATTCATGATCATGGAGGTTTAGTATATATGGATGGTGCAAATATGAATGCTTAGGTTGGATATACATCTCCTGGATATTTAGGAGCTGATGTTTGTCACTTAAATCTTCATAAGACATTCTCTATTCCACATGGAGGAGGTGGTCCTGGATTAGGACCTATTGCTGTTAATAAGAAATTGGCACCATATCTTCCAGGTAGAGAACATTCATTAGGAAGTGTTGCTTCATCCTTATATAGTTCTGCATCTATAATCCCAATACCTTATAGTTATTTTGGATAACTTGGAAGATAAGGTGCAAAGAAATGCACAGCTATGGCTATGTTAAATGCTAATTATTTAATGAAGAATTTAAAAAATGATTACAAAGTATTGTTTACTGGATAAAATGGAATGTGTGCTCATGAATTCATTATTGACATTAGACCTATTAAATAAGAAAGTGGAATTACTGAAGAAGATATTGCAAAAAGACTTATGGATTATGGATTCCATGCTCCTACTATGTCATTCCCAGTACCAGGAACACTTATGATTGAACCAACTGAAAGTGAATCTAAGTATATATATAATATTTATTAATTATTAGATCTGAATTAGATAGATTTATTGAAGCAATGAAAAATATTAAATTAGAAATTGAAAAAGTCAAAAATGGATAATATGATAAAAATGATAATCCATTAAAAAATGCTCCTCATACTTAAGATTAAGTAATTAATAGTGGTTGGAATCATAAATACTCTAGAGAAGAAGCTGCTTTTCCATTACCTTTTGTGATGCAAAGAGGCAAAGTATGGCCAACAGTAAGCAGAATTAATAATGCTTTTGGAGATAGAAATCTTATATGTTAATGTCCATCTGTTTCAGATTACCAATAATGATATATCTAAATTTATTCAAAATTATTCGATGTCTGCTATTGGATTTGCATGAATGGTTGTTTTGAAAATTTTGATCTCATTTAATGCTTTGTAATTATTATCTACAGTTTCTTTCTCCATCAAATCCAGAGCCTCCCATCCATAAATTACTTTTCCAAAAGCTGTATATAGACCATTCAAGTGATTCTACTTTGAATAGGTTATAAAAAATTGTGATTAGTTTGTATCTTTTCCTGCATTTGCCATTGAAACTATTCCGCGTCTATCATGTTTAATTTCTGGAACGATTTCATCTTCAAAATATTTTCCATAAATACATTCTCCTCCCTTACCAGTACCTAAAATATATAATAAATAATTTTAAATACCTGTAGGATCACCTCCTTAAATGATAAATCCTGGGATATTTCTATGAAATATTGTATTATCATAAAATTTCTTTGCACACAAAGCTAAAAAGTTTTTACAGGTTTTTGGTGTTAATTCACAAAATAATTCTAATTTTATATCTCCATGACTAGTATGTAAAGTGACAGACATTTTTAAATAATTTAATATATTATGTAAATTATTATACATTTAAGTTTTTGATATAATAAATATATACAAATATCAGCCATTCTATTATTCCTAATTTTATTTATTAAATTTTTAAATTTGTTTATCAACTTCTTCTTTCTATTATTATTACTCATTTTGATTATTTAATACATTATTAATTTCCTACTAAATTTATTATAAACATTATGATTTCTATATTTAATTCAATCCATTTCTACCTTGGATCATAGATGACATAATATAATTGGAATATTTTAAATTATTAAAAGAAATTATAATATTTATAATTCATTATTAAACAGAAGATTATCTTCTAGGTTGCTTTGATGACTATTAAGGTGCCACTATATTTTGTGAAATCAATAGCAAAGGATTAAATAAGAGTGATTATCTAAGCTATTTGACCCCATTTATTATTGATTCTCTATCTAATATTTAGTTTGAAGTTGATGATTAGTTTCTATATAAATACTCTTTGTTAAATTTGATTTATTATTCTTATAAATAATAATACCTATGAATTATGTAAGATTATACAAGATTAGGATCTAACTTAAATTCTGGAAATATCTCATAAGCTATGTATTTACCTAGTGAATCTACATCAGGTACATTAAAATTCTATATTTTATTTTCAAATAAAGTTTTAGATTATTTTGACAATTCAGTTGCATAAATAGATAATAAATGTAACATTGTTATATCCTTTCTAGTATCAAAGACTTATTATAATTGAGCTTAAATTTGAAATTAAGAGAAATATGTTTCTAAAAATTGTTTATTTATAGTAAACATCAAAGTGGATTTTCCATAATTTAAATTTAATTTAACAATTTTATGTTTCAAATTTTCATCATCCATTTCAATTTATAATTTAATTTATTCTGGGTTTTTTGAATGTTATTGTACATTCAATATATAAGCATAGAATTCTTAATAAATTCTTTTTATTTGATTTATATAATATATCTCCATTGTTTCTAATCCTTAAATATTAAAAAAAATAGAACATAAATTATTTAATTGGACTGCAGCTTATGTTGCTTCTTCAAATGGTTCAAGAATAGTTATGATATTTTTATAAAGTTCAGGAAACTTTTAATAATAATCTATCAATTGTTGACATGGACTTACCCTAGATTATTCCATCATTAAAATTTTATGTAATAATTCTAATTTATTATCTTCTTCAATAATATATGGAGGTTCATCATAATACTACATTAATTAACGAACACAAAATATTGGTACCCATGGATGATCTGAAAACATTAAACTAAATGCCATATCTCCTGGTTATTAGGCTATCACATTCATTGATAATCTATTTCTAATTTATGCTTAACATGTTTCTCTCTTGCTTTTTGCAACATAAGCTACATTAGTTAATTGAGAAACAA